AACATGCGGCATCTATGCAGGTGCCGGGGGTTGATGCGCGACACCAGTAAATGTCGCAGGGAGCCGATGAGGCAAAAGAAAAGCGAGTGAGGGAGAAAGACAAAGAGAAAAAGAGGAAAAGTGCAGAGACAGCAAACATAAAAAGCCACTTCTCTCTCCACTCTACTTCCCACTCAGTTCTGTCTGTCTCTTTTTATCAGTGTGTGTGTGTGTACGTGTGCGCAATGGTCAGGGTGCCCAAGAGCAGTCGAGTGCAAGAGCGAGCTCTGCCCCCCGTACACACAAACACACACATACAAAAACACAATCCCCATCACCACCACCAATGCCAGCATTATAATCACCCACCCCCCTCCCCACCTCGTCAGAGCCAGCTGACCTACTTCCTGTCTAGCCAGTCCAGTGGTTGACTGTACACTCATCTGAGACAGAGTGTGTGTGTGTGTGTGTGTGTGTGTGTGTGTGTGTGTGTGTGCATGTGGGGGAGGGGGGTAGTATCATGATAAACCAAAATACAAGATGGAAACATATGAATGATGGGAACAAAAGTACAGCAGTGCAGATAAAGAAGTGGAGGGGCAAAGAGTGTATGGTGTAAACAGGCTCTGTACAGACATGTTCAGGGATTACTTTCTGTTGCTTCCTAACTTCAGTGGAAAACCATAGCTACTTTAAGGATTTAAGCTGTTGTTCTCTTTCAGCGGAAAGAGAACAAATGACACGTCTCTGGAATAGTGACGTAGTTACACAGTATACACTGCCGAAGAAGCTTTGACATGTTAACACCAAGTTTTACCCTTTTACTTCCCTTCAACTCGCCATGGCTGCTCAGTTTCATCGAACAGAAGCATCTTTAGGTTTGCACAGTCACCAGAAGACAATGCTGGTGTTTACACTTCTGCAAACCACATGCATGTGTCATATCAACACCGACTTTATCATCACAAGGTGAAAGGGATAATAAATGGTGTGAGACCGAGGCGAGACAACTGCAAAGCCGCAGATCACTGTTCAAGACCAAGAAACAACAAAGCTTGCAACTTGTATCCAGTACATAACAACGTACAAATGTTATGTGATTTCTCACTGCGATTGTGTCGCCATAATGGGGTGTTTTTTGAGTGAGACATTGTGACATTACTAGCTGCAACTGTGGCACCAGAACTGGGCATTTTTTGGCGACACATCAAGGTATTTCCAGCCACGATGATGACACCAAACTGGGTGTTTTTAAGGGAGACATTGCAGCATTTCCAGCTGTGATTATGGCACCAAAATCAGGTATTTTAAACCAAGATATGATCTTTTCCAAACCATAACCAAGTAGTTTTGTGCCTGAACATCACCACACATTAACCACAGTACTGCTGAAATGTAAAGAAACTTTAAAGTTTCAATTTATCCACTACATAATAACATACAAATGTTACATATATATGATTTCTAGCTGCAATTGTGTTGCCAAAACTGGGTGCAGTTAGCAAGACATTGTGGCATTTCTAGCTGGAATGTGGCTCCAGAACCAGGTGATTTTTAGCAAGACATTTCCAGCCAGGACTCTGGCACTAGAACTGGTGTTTTTTGAGTGAGACATCATGACGTTACTAGCTGCAACTGTGGCACCAAAACTGGGTGTTTTTTAGTGAGACATCAGGGCATTTCCAGCTGCAATTACAACGCCAGACTGGGGTTTTTTTTGTAAGGGAGACATCAGGGCATTTCTAGATGCGCTTGTGCCACCAAAACTGGGTGCTTTTGGCGAGACATTGTTGCATTTCTAGCTCGGATTGTGGCACTAGAAAGAGGTGATTTTTAGCGAAACATAGGGGCATTTCCAGACACGACTGAAACACCAAAACCTGGCAAGCCTAGCAAGACATAGGGGCAATTTTAGGGGGGATTATGACATTTCTAGCTGCAACTGTGGCACCAGAACTGGGCGTTTTTTGGCGAGACATAATCGTATTTCCAGCCACACTTATGACACCAAACTGGGTGTTTTTAAAGGGAGACAGTGCAGCATTTCCAGCTGTGATTGTGCCACCAAAATCTGGTATTTTAAGCCAAGGCATGATCTTTTCCAAACCATAACCACGTAGTTTTGTGCCTGAACAACACCACACATTAACCACCACACTGCTGAAATGTAAAGAAAATTTAAGGTTTCAATGTATCCATAAATTAATAACATACAAATATTATGTATACCTGATTTCTGGCTGCAATTTCTGGCACCAAACCTGGCTGCCTTTAGCGAGACATAGGGACAATTCTAGCCGGGATTGTGGCACTAGAGCCAGGTGATTTTTGAGGACGACATCATAACATTTCTAGCTGCGACTGTGGCGACATTTTTAACATTGGGGCATTTTCAGCCCTGATTGTGTCACCAAAACTGAGTGCTTTCAGCGAGGTATTGTGCCATTTCTAGCTGGGATTGTGGCACCAGAACCAGGTGACATTTAGCGAGACATAGGGGCCTTTCCAACCATGATTCCAACCATGATTGCAACACCAAAACCAGGTGTTTTAGCAAGACATCGTGGCATTTCTAGCTGCACCATAACATTGTCTTAAATATTTAGGGTTCCCTGAGGACAAATCCCAATGACTTTGGGGTGACACACTCCGTCTGAGATGTCCCAAAATGGCCACCACACAGAGGAAAATCCTTGGGCGCGTTCTGAATTGCATATTTTTTTCTTTTTTACTTTTAGTAGGCACTGCAGTTGTCCTTAAAAAGTATGTACTGTTGCATGCAGTATACACCCAATCAGGAAATGATTGTGATTGGCTCTCTCTGTGAATCCACAACATAAAAGTTTCACACATCTGCTACATAATAGAGTACAAATGTTTCATCATGATTTGCAGAGACGTGCAATGCCGGCTGGGTTTACACAAAGCTTGGCTGCAAAAGTGTGAAGCCAGTGACCTATCAGCAGTTCAGAGGAGTTCTCTGAAGTCTCGTTCTTATAATACCAGTAAATCATAATCTAACAAACCATGAGGTTCTTCAAGAGCGTCTGTGTCACTGTGCACAAACATACAACATATGAAGAAAAGGGGGGTCAAAAGATCACTGTTGATACATTTGCACACCTTCCAATGCATGACCACACCATGTAAAAACAAATGTGTGTCCTTGGCGCTGCAGTGCTTGACATCACGCCTCCAAAAGAACAGGACATGCATGGGCTGACTCCCAATGCACAGACACTTCCCTCCTCTTCCTCATTTCTCTTTATTGTCTCCTCTGTCTCTCATTCCCTCTCCTCCTCTCCTTCCTCTTCTTCTTTCATGTTCTCCTTTCCATTCCACCTTCCAATTCCGCTTTCCCACACACACACACACACGGCAAAAACATGCTGCAGGTGTAAACCTCAAAAGTAGCGTCTGTTATCGACATTTCATTCACCTCCCCTGTGAACATTACTCTTCATGCAGGCAGGGCAGGGAGGTGGGCAGAGAGAGATAATGCCAAGAGACAGGGCGGCTGGCAGATAGACGGGGAGGTGCATTCAGTCAGTCAGACAGACAGACAAGACGCTGGGGAAAAAAAACGGGTGATAAAATTGATAGAAAAGACGGAATAGCATGAGGGTAGATGGATGAGCAGTTGTGACTTTAACAGCAACACAGAGACAGGCAAACAGACATGAAGAGAGAGGAAGAGACAGGCGGAATGAGGCTATAAAAATGGACATACGGGCACAATAAAGCAGACACGGAAACAGGTAAATACAACTGCATTGTGTCTATGTGTGTGTGTGTGTGTGATGTCTCTCAGAGCTTCAGCTGGAGCCCCATTCTCATGTGCAGCATCCCTTACTTGTGTGCAGCTGACTATGAGCCCGGCAGACACCCACACATTAGGAACACACACACCATGCCCAGCGAGGCGAAAACATGGGTATCCACGCATAAACACAAGCGCAGGAGACTGTTTGTGTCTGTCTGTGAGTGTGTGTGTGCTGTGGTTTTTGCAGCACACACTGGATGAACAAAAGAACAGGCGATTGCAGCATGCAAAGCTTCAGCTGCACTGACTACAGGTAGGTTGGCACTCACACACACACACACACACACACACACACACACACACTAAGTAGATAGCTCCAAAAACAGCAGGCAGAAACTAGTTGACCATACAGAGGAGAGGGGAAGGGGGGTAAATGGCAATTTTTGGACTGAAAACAAGGAAGTGTTTATGTCTTGTTCTCTCTCTCTCACACACACACACACACACACACACACACACACACACACACACACAAGCCAAGAGAATCAGCAGTGTGTGTGTGGGAGACATGGGTTAAATTCCACTGCTGTTTGAATCAAGGCTGATGGGCCTATAATAGCCTGGCCCCAAGAAAAGAAAGATACACAAACCCCCTTATCCAGGTCAGCAGAATCCCAGCTACAACCTCAGCATCACACACACACACACACACACACACACACACAAGCCAAGAGAATCAGCAGTGTGTGTGTGGGAGACATGGGTTAAATTCCACTGCTGTTTGAATCAAGGCTGATGGGCCTATAATAGCCTGGCCCCAAGAAAAGAAAGATACACAAACCCCCTTATCCAGGTCAGCAGAATCCCAGCTACAACCTCAGCATCACACACACACACACACACACACACACACACACACACACACACACACAGCATCAGACCTTCCTGTTATTGCCCTGAATGAAGATGAGGCTTCAGATGCGCGAGGCAGCTGTCAACTTAGTTAATGTCAATATATAATTTGATCTATAATTTGACACATTGTGGCGGCCTGGCTCCCACACATCCGCCTCTCGCAGCCTCCTCTGCTCTCCTGCCGGTTGCTATTCAGGGAACGCTGTCAGGTGCAGGAGAAGGAGAAACGCGCGCGCGCGCGGCACGTACACACACCGGTTTCTCTCAGCTATATTTGTAAGATGCGAAAAAAAAAAGAAAAGAAAAGAAAAGAAAAGAAAAGAAAGATGTCACATCGTCTTACCCTCAAAGCGGACAGGTCGATTTCATCCAGACTCCGCGCTGGAGAGTCACTCGCCATGATGGAGGACACAAAAAGCTCAGCTCTCACTTGCCCCGAATATCCTGAAACGGTCTCTGCTGTCACGACTGTGTGGTCCCTCTTCTGCTGCTGCTCAGTTATCTACTGTCCCCCGTCTCTGCTGCTACACAGTGATGTCTCAAAAAAACAAACAAAAAAAAAAAACAGTGGTCAGCAGCGGGACGAGCCACGGGCCGGGAGCGCACAGCTAGAGCGCAAATGCGTGGAGGATGGAAAGCGAGAGCGCCGCGTACGTTAGCACCTCCAGATCCATGTCTGAGGGATGTAGACGGAACAGAGGAAGGTGAAGCGTCGTGGAAAGTGGATTACTGCTAGTGTGCTCGTCCTGGAGCCGCTGCTGTGACAGCCAGTGAATATAGAGAGGGAGGGGGGGAGCGCACTGCCTACTGCCTCAGCAAACCCCGCCTTTTATTTGGCGTGGTTTGCTGAGGCAGAAGGGACTCACAAACTTTTTCCTTCTTTCCAACGAATCTCATGACATACTTAGTGGAAAGCAGCAACGTTTCGTGACATTATGCATGAGCATGATGTCACCCTGCATGTTATTTTACACAAACACATTTATTTAAATTCCTTAGTTTATTGATTTTTTTCGAGAAAATAAAAATGATCTTTTTTTTTATTATAGGTGTTTTTTCTGTATTAAATTTTAGAAAGAAATAATATTCAAAAGGTATTACAGGGCTGTTGGATTGGACTGCAGGTGTATCCAAGGATGGATCACTGAACAGGTCTACTGGGCAAGGGGCTCAGAGGGCCCAAAGTTTCAGAGGGCCCTCTGGCCTTTACCTATAAAATATCACTCAAGTTAACACATATTGACCAGGAGGTGACTCAAAATGACTACAAAGGGATGCAAAGGCACTGCACAAAGGTAGAAAACAACGATCAAAAGAGGTGAAATGACCGTAAAGAGACAAGAAATGACCAAAAAGACGCAAAATGACTACAAAGAGACACAAAATGACTCAAAGAGACACAAAATGACTACAAAGAGACACAAATGACTACAAAGAGACACAAAACCACTACAGGGAGACAAAAAAGGACGACAAGGGACAAAACAACCACAGGGAGACAAAAAATGACTAAAGGGACAAAACAACCACAGGGAGACAAAAAAGGACTCAAAGAGGCATTAAACAACCTCAGGGAGACACAAAATGACTACAATGAGACACAAAACAACCACAAAGAGACACAAAATTACTACAAAGAGGCATTAAACAACCACAGGGAGACATAAAATGACTACAAGGGACAAAACAACCACAGGGAGACAAAAAATGACTACAAAGAGACACAAAACAACCACAGGGAGACACAAAATGACTACAATGAGACACAAAACAACCACAAAGAGACACAAAATGACCCAATGAGACACAACATAACCACAGGGAGACACAAAAGCATCTCAACGAGACACAAAATGACTACAAAGAGACACAAAATGACTACAAAGAGACACAACACAACCACAGGGAGACACAAAATCATCTCAAAAAGACACACAATAACTACAAAGAGATACAAAACAACCACAGGGAGACACAAAATTACCTTGAAGAGATATAAAACCACAAAAGATGCATAACGACTACAAAGAGATGCAAAACAAAAATAAAACAAAAAAAGAGGCAAAACCACCACATGATTTGTGTATATTCTCTCCTAAGTAGCAGAGGTGGTGGGGCCATTTGCATATCTGTGCCCAGGGGCCCATTGTCTCATAATCCACCCATGGGTATATCTGTTACTTTATCCATCACGAGCAACTTAATTAGATTTTGTCTTAAAGGGACACTCCAGTAGTTTAGTATTGCACTTTCATAAAGTTGGGGGACTCACAAGAGAGAGATTAACAGCAGTAGCTGCCGTATCCTGATCAGTGGTGGAATGCAATTAAGTGCATTTACTCAAGTGCTGCACTTAAATGTTCTGTGTGCAACAGTCAGAGAAATAATACAGCAAACCGCTATTTGCTATGTAAAGATATAGTGACGGCGTCCTGAGCAGAGAATAAAGTCTCCTTACCTCTGTGTGTGTTGTAATCCAAGCTTCTCTGTGGTTTGTTGTGGTAAACAGGTCTGCCAGCACGTGCATGTTAGTGCATGTGTGTACCCCACCGGCTAGCTCATGGCTGCTGCTTTGCACTGCAGTTACCACTGATATTGGGGCAGCATTGAAGAATCACAGGGCCCACTTTCCGGTTCTCCCCTAACATCATTAGCTCTGTCATTACAGTTGACGTTGTTTAGCGTTGTTAATGTATTTAGCGCTGTTAGCTGTTAAGCGGTATTTATACTTGTGCGTCAGCTCTATGCCTCCGAAATCACTGGTCGGCAGTGGTGTTTCTGTGAAGTGCTGTAAAGTTTAGTTGATTCAAAACACACCCAAAACACACTTAAAACACTCATTAAACATGGCTAAATGGAGACAATTTCAAACACAAGTACACAAATCAGCTTCACTATAACTCACAACACTCACATGCAAAGCACTTGCCTTTTGTTGGACACATTTTCCCCACAAATACAACATGCTAATGTTTTTAGCACGAGCCTATGGCATTTTACATTGTATAAATTAGCATAGTGGCTACCGGACTTTTCCTCTACTCATATGAACATTTAACAAAGCTAATGGTACAAAATTCGGCTCCATTACAACTCACAAGGTTCACCGACAAAACAACTGTCTTATACAAAACACGTTTCCCAAAAAATATAGCATGCTAACGTTATTAGCACAAGCCTATGGCATTTTGCATTGTATAAATAGGGCTAAGGACTAGCGGATATTTCCTCTGCTCATATGAAGCCAGGATAAATCACACACAAGACTTAAAATGCTATTTTTGTGGAGGCTTTATTGTCTTTACAATTTATTGTTTCTTATCTGTGAAATTAAAGTAAATAAAAGTTTTGTTTCCACTGAGGGAAATGGTTACAAAAGTAGACAAGAGGTCTCTTTTGCCACGATGTCTAGTTACATTTCTGGGGAGGTGCACGTCAGGCTACGGCATGGGGTACAGCGCTGATTCGAGGGAGATGTATAAATCCCGCTCTTGCAGCCCACCTAGCTACCTCAATTTTGCATAGAGCGCCTTAAAGTACAATTAAAGGCACTATTTTTTTACTTCGACTCCACTTTGGAGAGCTTCCTTTAAAGCCACACATGACATGATTCAGAGTTCTCTTTATGGGAGGAAACAATTGTTTAGAATATTCTTACTCAGCCAATGATAAAAAGGAACATTTCTGCACCCTTAATCTGACTTTGGGAGCCACTTAATTTGTAGCTTCCAGTTTGAGAGAGTGGAGTTACCTGGTGCATATGAATACATGTCTACACGTGTATAAATCACAAAAAGTCAAATGTATACTTTAAGAAACTTAATGCAGTCATTTACATGATCTGCAGGTGCTGAACGTCTTCGGTTTAAACCAAATGTGTCCAATGATCAGTATAATTTAGAACCTAACAGGAGAATGTGCCAAGACTGGCGCTGCACATTGTAAAACTGCTTGCCAAAGACATGTCAACAAAAGGGATGTCAAGGGAGTGTCAGCTGACAGTTGGATGGCCTTCTCAATTAATTCAACAGTTGTCATAAGTTTACAAAGCACTGATTTTGTTTGAGCAGGTCCACACTCTATGTTCCTCCTGAATTTCCTTGGTACTGTGTTACGTAACACATCTTTGCTGATTGTTAAGATAGGCGTCTCAAGTTTAACTGCCAGATCCCCATCAACACCAACCTTATGAATAATGACAACGGGGGAAAAAAAATCAGATCAAACTTCCTGGTAGTTTTATGTAAGAGTTGGAACTGACAGTGCAGATTCTACGCAGCAATAGATTTCACTGGAATAAGTGTCTGCAATTTAAGCTGCGAAACACAACAACAACTCTACATTAATTTTATGTTTAAATACTCAGGTTCATAAAACCACAGGGTCTGTTATACTATCACATACACCAGACCCAGTAAAGTGTTTACGGCCATTTAAACTGCTGATGCATTTTAGAACGTATACCCAGATGATGCTGGCACTAAAACTTAGTTTGTGCCTTTTTACTAACACCAAGAAAGTGGAGCACATGAAATCACTTTCTTGGCCTCAATACATTTCTGATTCACTTGAATGATAAGAAGCATCCAGACCCCTCAGGTCATCTGAGGAACTCAGTGTTCCCACAATCAAAACTAAGCAAGGAGAAGCAACTTTTGGTTTCTACGTCCCAACCTGTGGAACAGGCTCCCTGTAGGTCTGCTAAAACTGCCAACTAATGTAAATCAGGGCTAAAAATGTTATTGTTCACTGTGGCTTTCCGATAAACTAAACTTTTTCTTTCATGTGTAACTATTGTTGTGCTTTCTTTTGCTTGTTTTACTGTCTGTAATTATGTTTTTCTCACTGAAAATCAGAGTAAAAGACTGAAATCACAGGCAACTCATAATGTGACTCAGTGTGTGTGGCCCCCGCATACCTATATGCACTCCTGACAACATCTGGGCATGCTCCTGATGAGTCAACGGATGGCGTCCTGGGGGATCTCCTCCCAGACCTGGATCAGGGCATCAGTGAGCTTCTGGACTGGCTACATAACATCCCATAGGTGCTCAATTTGATTTAGGTCAGGGGCATCCAATAGCATCAATGCCTTCATCATCAAGGAACTGCCTACACACTCTGGCTACATGAGCACAGGTCCCACTAGAGGACGTCGGGCCCTCATTCCACCCTCATGGAGTCTGTTTCTGACAGTGTGGTCAGAAACATGCACACCAGTAGCCTGCTGGAGGTCATTGTGTAGGACTCTGGCAGTGCTCCTCCTGTTCCTCCTCACACAAAGGAGTAGATACCAGTCCTGCTGCTGGGTTGATGCCCTTCTACGACCCTGTACAGCTCTCCTTGTGTAACAGCTGGTCTACTAGTATCTCCTCCATGCTCTTGACACTGTGCTGGGGGATACAGCAAACCTTCCTGCTACCCAATTGCTACCAGTAGTGACAAGGACACATGTAAAACCATTCCCTTTTTGGGGCTTGCCTTGCTTTTGCCTCTCCATTGCACCTGTTGTCACTTTGATTTGCACCATAACAGGTGAAACTGAGTCACAATCACTTGTGCCTCCTAAATGGAGATTGATATCTCTGAAGTCTAACTGACTTGGTGTTAAACTGTGACAATTAAATGTTCGCTTCATTTTTAAGAGCAGTGTAGAAGCAAAAAACATCCATTGACTACAATGAAAATATCAATAAAGAACAATTTTTTTTTACATTAACTTGTTTTTCACTTTGCGACTGAATGACACAAGAGTTCCAAAGATAATTTTATTTGTTAGCCATTTAAATTATAAGTTACACCGTGTTAAATCAACAGGCAGATATAAGAAATACTTTCAACTGTACAAAAAAGGTATTGTACAAACAGTGGAAGCAACATCAGCTGACTCGAGGCAAAGGGATAGCTGAGATAGTGGACAGGAAAAGACTGCAGCATGATGGTTATGATAAAGAAACATAGGTTTAGTTACAAAATCCACAACCGTCCATACAGCCATGCCGTACATTTAAAAAAATATACAGGTTTAAAGAATGTTAAATGATTCATATTCCATAGATAATGCAGTGACGGATACAGCGAGGGTAAACAATACAGTGATGTCAAAATCAGCACAAATCGAAAAAGCCGTGATGTTTTCAGTTGTTGTCACCTCAGTTAACATTCATCAATATCCTGGTCCCATTAAAAATATCCAAGTTTTATTATCAGCTGCTGCACAATGCAGTTATTGTTCTTCCATTGAATTAATGCCGGTGATTCTCACGTAGGGTGTGTGACCCAGACATCAGCACGTCACCAAGTCCCTTTAACGAATATGGAGGATGTCTGCCAAATGAAATCATTCATGTTGTTGATTTACAGGAACCACCAAGGTCCGCCTTTTTCGCTTCATAACCTTAGGGAAGATAATTAACCAATCATCTGCAGTGACATTTTAGATGTGACGCAAAAGCAGAGCACAGCTGGATACTGATCAAGTGGTTCTTTCACTTCACATTAAAAGGAGGCTGGTGATCAAACAAAATACGCTGACATATATTAAAAATTAAAACAAATCAGGTGACATAAATTCCATACATTCACATATACATCAAATGCTTCATAGGTCACATATTTTACCAATCCCTAGAAAAATGCTTTTTCATTACATAAAAAAATTACATTTTTTTTTCACTCTGAGTCAAAAGCTCCATCGAGAGAACCACTGGAACTGCCAGGAAACATAACACGTGACTTCAAACTGTACCTTCATGTGACAGTTTTGCCTCTGGCATCATGCTTTATGGAAAATAGTGTTTTTATTGTCATTGTTTACATCGTTTCAAAGACTGTAATTCTACAAGCTGTCGCCGTAAGACTGAAATAAAATAGCAGAGAGAGCTGTATTGCCGCTGTACAAGCTATCTATAAGAAGCTAGCACCATCTGTTGAGCAAAGAAGGAAATGACACCTTGAATTGGAGTGCCGATTGTCTCATTACACTTTACTCTGTAGCCAAGGGTGTAGGTTTCGTTTCAACACTGGGGTGGGGACGTGTATGATACAGGGGATTTAAGGGTTCACTGCCAGAAAATTTTGAGTGTCTAACACTTAAATTCCAGCATTCTGGTTAATATTTATGCACCAGTTTGTGCATTTTCTGCTTCAGTTTATGGTTTAGATGTCTTTAATTTCGTCAAAAGTGCACAAGGTTTTATTGGGGCAGACAAAAGCACATGTTCTAAATATTGAGGGGACGTCTCCTCTGTATCCCCCCTGAAATTTGCACCTATGACTTTAGTATTTGATCATACACCCCTCTAAACGCAGTATGATGTAACCGAGTTGACTTAGCTTCTGTACCTGGGTCAGCTCAACACTTTGATTTCAGCACTAAAGTCCAGGAACAATCTGTCACGAAACACCTTTGACAGGAAATATAACGCCTCTGAGGGTTCCCTCAGAGATGTGATTGGTTCATGCATTATAGCTATCGTGTTGACAATCTGAGCACAGTTAGTAAAATCATGCACCAATGTTGAATCGGTAAAAAAAAAAGCCATCACGTGGTTTGGATTTGTTTGACATAAAAGATCCTTAAAATACATCTGAGATGACTTAAAGAGGCTGGTCATCTCTTCTTGAGCTCATGAACAGCGTACGTACTGAAGCACCACTGCACCTTACGAGCTTACACTACAAACTCATCACATGCATCGCCATCTCTGTGTATCCTGTGATCTTTTTAAAACTAACAGCTGAATGTTTGTTAGCGTCATTGTCACAAATGTCACCGCAGCCTCACCCTGGTTCTCCGGAAGTCCTCGCTGTCTTGTGAAGTTTAAAAACAGTCCAAAGGTCCAAGAGTCCAGAGCTGAGTTGATTCCCAAAACCCAAAGTTCATGTGCCTGCTTTTCATCTCCACAGCTTGAATGCAGTCATAAATGTTTTCCTCAAAGTGCGACGTCTTTTGTTCTTCATAAATCCCAACAGTGTTAATGCTTGTCCAAATAAGCCGTTAACTGCTGTTTCTGAGCAGAAACAGATTTGAGAGATTTGTCGATGCCCAGCAGTCATATCAATCCAGAGGAGACCCTCATCTCTGGATTAAACCCAATCTCTTGCAAATCCATAATGACAACTGTAATCCAGATACTTCCCTCAAGATGCTCAAGCAGTGGCAGTGGTGCATCCTTTATGTCCAGATCTCAGTTGGCACCATGGCCTCCTTCGTTCCAACAGAGGGCATGAGGTTCTGCTCAGACAGGAAGTCCAGAGGGAACTGAACCAGGAAGCCTCGGATTTTGCGCAGCTCCTCCTGCGCACGGCCCAGGTCGGTCTGGGCCAGACCCGGTTTGGACTGGTACTGCTCCAGCTCGGACATGTTCCTCACCAGGGACGAAGGAAGGCAACGGAATACCTGGAGAAAAACACACACATGTACTAATAACATACAGCCCACTTGCCAGAAGATGTTGGCAGTGTACATTTCTGCAAATTTTTTTTTTTCACTAGTGAGACACTAGGGCATTTCCAACTGCAATTGTGGCACCATTACCACGTGTTTTTAACAAGACATCGTGGTGTTTCTAGCTGGGATTGTGGCAACAGAACCAGGTAATTTTTAGCAAGACACAGGGGCATTTCAAGTTACGACTGCAACACCAAAACCAAGTGTTTTTTAGCAAGACATCGTGGCAATTGTAGCTGCAACAGTGACACCAAAATTGGGTGTATTTAGCAAGATATCGTGGCATTTCTAGCCACGATTGTGTCACCTAAACTGGGTACTTTTAATGAGACATCATGGCATTTCTAGCTGGAATGTGGCACCAGAAGCAGGTGATTTTTAGCAAGACATCGTGGCATTTCTAGCCTTGACTGTGTCACCAAAACTGATGCTTTTTGCGAGAAATACAGGTATTTCTAGCTGGGATTGTGGCCCCGGAACTGGGTGATTTTTAGCAAGACATCAGGGCATTCCCAGCCACAACTGTGGCATCAAAACTGGGTGTTTTTAGCAAGACATCGTGGCATTTCTAGCTGGGATTGTGGCACCAGAACCTAGTGATTTTTAGCGAGACAGGGGCATTTCCAGCCATGATTGCAACACCAAAACCAGGTGTTTTTTAGCATGACATCGTGGCACTTCTAACTGGGATTGTAGCACCAAATCTGCATGATTTTTAGCAATATATCAGGGTATTTTCAGCTGCAGCTGTGGCACCAAAAATGGATGATTTTGGAAAGAGATCGTGGGGTTTCTAGCTGCGATTGTTTCACCAAAAGTGTTTGATTTTTAGCGAGACATAGAGGCATTTACAGCAGTAATTGCAACATCAAAACCAGGTGCTTTCTAGCAAGACATTGTGGCTATTCTCAGGATTGTGGCACTAGAAGTGGGTGTTTTTCAAGTGAGACATTGTGGCATTTCTAGCTGCGACTGTTTCACGAAAACCAGGATTTTTAAGCTAAAACATGATCTTTTCCTAAGCCTAAACGGGTAATGTTTGTGCCTGAACATAACCACATGTTAACCACAGCATTTTTTAAATATACGGAAATGTAAAGTTTGAACATATCTACTACTTATGAAACTTACAAATGTTACAGAAACGTACAATGCCAACATTTATTCTGGTGTATGTGTTGCAACATACTGCTGTCTTTACCACTTCTGTAGACCGCTCTTGGGATGACGATCTTAGCTAGTTGGTTTACAGAAAAATATCTATTCAACTCTTAGATGGACTGCCATGATATTTGGCACAAATATTCAAGGTCCCCTGAGGACAAATCCCAATGACTTTGGGGGTGACAAACTGAGTCTGAGATGTCCCAAAATGGCCACTGCACAGAGGATAAATCTTTGTGATTTAGCTAAAAACATGGCCGTTCCTCTAACACCACCCTCAGACTATTTTACTCCATTAGTGGCAAGAATTTAAGAAAAGTAACCCCAACTTTTTTCATTGTACCAAATTGTTCTTTCGTTTCATTCTTTTCATGTTGTTGAATCTTTGAGCACATCAGAAAATTATTGTTATTGAAGTGAATATTAAAAATTTGCTTCTCAAATTTAGCAGCTGTGATACAATTTCCTTAATAGATGGCATTTAAGAATGATGTCTAAGTGACAGTACCTGTAAAAAACACCATCTGGCACATGTGCTAACTCCTCAGCTGACTTCATTTTTTAAATACTTTCACCTACACCATCATGTCCGCCCTTACCTTCTCATAGATGGTGGCGTTGCGGCCAGCTGTTGTCATCCACACCTCCTTGTAGAAGCGATCGCTGATGGGGTCGGACACGTCAATGCTGGTGTCAGTGTGACCTCCGAGGATAGTCCTGTTCACAAAGAGAAGAGAAATAAATACACTACACTGTGGTATTTGGATGGATGCTGTTAGGATATGGATGGCAAGATAAGTCTATTGAAACCATTAGAAACAAACAAAACTGTTGCATAATGTTTCCACTGGATTATAAAGTGCTACGTAAACACAGCTCTCTCTGTGCTTCTCTTTCACACACACACCTGAAGCATTCGAGGCGAAGCTGAAGTGCGTAGGGTCCAGCTTCATAGTCCTTTCCATCCATCTTCGAAGGGACCTTTTCAGAGTCCTCCACGATCACTGCCACCTCGCTGTCACGCTTACCCAGCATGCTTCTATCGTTGATGTTAGCAGAGCCTGATACAGACACACAGAACAGAGCATGGAAGCTGAATCTCTGCCTTACATCTTTATCATACTATACACAATGATAATTTTATGGTTTTAAAAAGAGACCATATGGCTTTATTTGACCTATTAATGTTGACTGTATAAATACTATTGAATACAAATGTAGAGAGATGTCTAAGAGGAAAAGAAAAAAGAAAGGAGAGCATGTAGAACAAATTTCAGCCTTTTGATTTGTTCTGTGAATGAGCGAGCTGCACCGAATCAGCCAGCAGAGGGCGCAGCAGAGCTGTGCTGCAGCAGTCCCCACATACTTCAACAGTGTCTGAACACACACTTGTTAGCAGCACACATGGTGCAAGATACAGACATGAAGCCAGATTTTTAGATTTATCACATCTCGATGGTGTCGAGGCCGAGAGGCTCGCCGCCTCAAATAGTAGCCTGTGAACACAACAAGAGAGACGGAACGTGACAGAGCGGACGAGAGACTGACCGATGATGACTGTGTTGTCGTCAGCGATGAGCATTTTGCTGTGGACGTAGATGAGCTCTGTGACCAGACGTCCCTCCAGCTCGGCGTGAGTCCGCAAGCCGGCGAAGGAGATGTAGTTCATCCAGTGGTCGTCCACTGAGAGGGGAGATGAGAGGGATCAAAGTGGGCTTCTATTAGCACTTTTCTATGCTTAATATTAGGCATCAAATATTTAATATTCTAGAAAAGTCTTGTACTTACTCTCCTTTTTCAGCTGTGAGATGATGGAGTATTCTCCTCTGATCATGGTTCTGAGGAGGCAACAGATTAAAACTCATTAAAAACTATTTAAATATTAACCAAGTACACCCCAGACTCAAATTGAAAGTAAGACATAAAGCACAATAGAGCTCTAATATTGCTTCCACATCTGCTTTCTCATTTCCCTTCACTCTTCCTCTTTGTATTTCACAGTGTCATGTTGTCCACCTGTAGTTGAAGTGCATGACAGCCTGGATGGCGTTCCCTCCTCCCGTGGTGATGTCGCCCTCAAAGCCAGGAAGCAGGGGGGTGACCACGTACACACGGAACTTCTTACCCTCCCTGTGAGCAAACACACCTCAGTTACATAAAGACACAGACAGAGCAGCGTCAAGATGTGACATCGTTTAAATAAAGGTGAGTACTTGTGTGCTCTGAGGATCCTTTCTATGATGGCGTCTCCGATCTTGTTGTAGACCGTCTTGTTGTCGGCACAGCTGATGAAGAACTGGTTCTGATGTGAGAGGAGAGAAGGACAGTCACAGCGATTCAGGCTTCAACATGTACAACTTCATGTGACAGAGTAGAGAGGCATTTAGACAGTCACTGAGTCCACTGACAGAACCTCACTGCTGCTTTACCTCTATGTAGATGTAGTGTTTGCTCTTGGCGATGACCTGGATGTAGGCATTGTGGATGGACTCCTCATGGTACTTTATGCCTGCAGACCAATCTGCTGCCGACCGCAACACCTTGCACACACACACACACACACACACACACACAGGCTTATTATAGCAGTAACACTGAAAGCGGGCCACATCTTGCACCTCCTACAATTGTCACCATATGGATGTGCCAATACAACATAAGTACAATACGTGTAAATGTATTATGTCATAGTTTCTGGCGATCAATATTTAACCTTTTCAGATGTTTTGGATGTACCCGTAGGATCTACTGCTACTGCGACAGTATTTAGAGCAGCTCCACAAGATGTACGTCTTCGTCGCCAGGCAAAAAATATAATGGCTTTGCATCTCTTTAAGCTAGATGACTGATACTGCTTAAATTCAATTCAATTTCATTTATAAAGCCTAATGTCAAAAATCACAATTAGCCTCAGAGGGTTTTACAGCATACGACATCCCTCTGTCCTTGGACCCTCACAGCGGATAAGGAAAAACTCCCCCCAAAAAAACCCTTTAACGGGGAAAAATGATTGAACAATAACACATCTGTGATGCCCTTAGATGTCCGGGGCTGCACGCGCGCCACACTGAGTGGATCAGCGTGTCTACCCTTCACTGAGAGACATAGGCAACCCGCTGAACCCCACTCCGGATAGGTATCGGGGATTGCAATTATTCCCCATGAACGAGGAATTCCCAGTAAGCGCGGGTCATAAACTTGCGTTGATTAAGTCCCTGCCTTTTTGGACACACCGCTCGTTGCTACTACAGATTGGATGGTTTAGTGAGGTCCTCAGATTGGCCCTGCTGGGGTCAGTCACGGTCCTGGCGGAGCGCCGAGAAGACAATCAAACTTGACTATCTAGGTGAAGTAGAAGGTGTAACAAGGTTTCCGTAGGTGAACCTGCGGAGGGATTAAGCTATGCATTAAAGACCTTATACATCATGATTTGGGGAAAACTTTATATTTTACAAGAGGGTGCGCTTAGAAATTTTATGCTATATGGCAACCATTTTTAACCTGTGAAGAAAAAATGACCACAAGTGATATTGTATTTCATGCTATTGACCCCATACTATATATAAGTTATTCATTATTTTTTATATTATATTTATTTTTGGTACTTTTTTCTTACTGATCACTTATGATTTTACTGATTATATATTTTTTTTAAATCATCCATTGGATTTTTTAATTTGATGTATTTCATTTTTTGTGTCTCACCTACGACTTTTGTCACTTTGAATTTATTTATATGTACATGTAAATATTTATGCAATTGATTTTTTTTGGCTGCTAAACGGTACAATAGGGATGAAGCTCTATTGGAGCAAAAAAAAAAAAGGCAGGGTATACTACATTTTTCCCATTGTATCTGTGATTTATTGCATTTTGTATGACTTTAAATACCAATACCAAATATATAAAAAAAAAAACAAAAACAATAACTACTGAACACCATATATTTTTTTCATGACTTTTCCCACTTTCTAAACTTAAAAATTTTGTTTAATACTAATATACTACTTTATTTATATATGATATAATATTTAATTTATATTTAATTTTAATTTATATTTAATTTTTTTTAATTTATATAATATTATACATTATTTTAAAAAAATAATAAAATTAAAAATCATTTATTTATTAAAATTATTTTATAATATTCAATACATTTAATTTATACTTAAATAATTACTATTAATATACTAAAAATAATCAGTGGCAAATAATTCCCATTAAGACATTAACTTTACTGTCAAAAAAGAAAACATTTAATTGGTGCATATCATTGGCTGTAGTTATAGAGGATACAAATGGAGAAGTTGTACATGGAGGTGTCAGGTTAATAACACACAGTTTGAATAAAACACACGATCATTTATGAAACAAAACTGAGAAAACCAAAGAACACCTTCCCTTAGAACAAAACCTGATGGAGTTGTGATGGGATCTTCGTGCGCTTCTTATTTTAGCCGAGCATTTCACTCACAGGTCGCTTCCTTACGGTGAAAAAAACTCTGAGTGTCAATCGCGAGTGCAAACCTTTGTAGTTACATAACTTTTTGGCCTGTGGAGAGTTTTTTAACGCTCGCTCTCTTTTATCTTTTTCCAGCAGTGCTGCAGACTGGGACGGGGAACACAGTGTGGGAAAGTGGGAGTTTATACAGTTCCTGTGTTCTCTCTGTAATTTTCTACCAGTGGTTCTTTTTAGCTTTTGTGAATGGTTGCTTTTTGCACCCACTTTCTCATTTTGCATAATTATATAGAAGGAAAAAACGCCATTTCCTGGACTATGTTTTGTTTTTTGAGATCAGTTAAAGGCAAAAATGGCACTTGTTCGGTTCTCTTACCTGCACTTTGGCATTGACACAGTCAGGGACTTGGTATTTGAGCTCACTGGCGCTGGAGTGAGACTTGGGCAGTAGGAATGGATAAGATAGAGAGCGGTACTTTGGCTTCATGATCTGTAGGAGGGACAGAGGGAAGGTAAATATAGGGTTAGAGGTGGAATGGAAAAGCATGAAAGCAGGATAACGGGAGGAAAAAGCTGGTTCCATGGAAAGCATGAGTGTGAGGGTATTTTTAATGTCAACGGCCTTGTTGTTAACTAAATTATTTCCACTGTTTGAGCCACACATTTCCTGAGAGTTTGCCAGGGTAGTGTTTAATGTTCTGCTTATTTTTTAGGTCAATAAATCATGATTTTCCAAACGTAAATTTTGCATTAGCTAGCTTCCACTTGCTCTATTGTGACTGTGAATTTGAATAAGAAGTAGTGCCATTAGGTGCCATCAAAACAATCATAATAATTAGCTCAGAAAATCTAAGTTTGCTCCTCTACATCCTTGTGTGTGCATAATAAAGGACACAGTGTGTGTGTTGCAGTACCTTAGTAAAGTTCCAGCGCTGAATGAAGTGCCTGGCCACATCCCGCGCAGCTCTGCCATGAACCACTGCGGCGATGTCATGCCAAGGCATTCTGGGAGTGGTGTACCTGTCGATGAAGTCTGCGCAGAATGGAAGCAACCCAGTGACGACAGGAGAGACGAATGTAAAAAGACACAGTAGGATGGAGTTAAAGGGACAGACAAAAGGAGAGGAGGTGGGAGAAAGGAGCACAGCGGGGTCAGAGAGTTCGGAGCAGAGAGAGGGAGAGAAAAAATAGGAACAAATAAGTGTTTTATGTGCTCGGCTCCAGGTTTCCAGATGAATATTTGTTTCCATCAAACAACAGGGAAAAGTATGAGACTAAGATTAATGTTAAGCAGGGGTTTGATTACTAGACATACAGACCCTGTAATTAGGGAAGCATTTCAGAGACCTAATGAGGAGTTTGTGTAAGTGTGTGTGTCTCTGTGTATGAAGCAGACCATCAAAAGGTTTCTCCAGCTGGATCCAGTCCTTGTAGACAAAGTTGCAGTAGTCCTTCCCGTGCCAGAAGCGTGTGTTGCCCTGTAACTCTCCAACACCTGTCTTCAGGCTCCGCACTGAACCACTCCCTAAACACACACATGCACACACACACACACACACACACACACACACACAGCATGAAAAATGGACTGCATAAACAGTACAATTCACGTTATTCTCGCATATCCTCTCCCATACACACACCTGCGCTGTCCACACTGCTGACACTGTCTGCGTGCTGCATAGTGTGTTTGTGCAGGTGTCTGTACAGGCTGAAGCGAGCCTTCCTACTGCGTCCGATCCCCTTCAGCTTGGGCAAGTCCGCAGGATCGCCGGGCGGCGTCCCTCGCCCATTGCTCTTGGAGACGTCCTCAACGAAGGACACACCCTTACTGGATTGATTGTTGGTGGAGGCAGCCTGGGAACATGGAAACAACAGCGGATGTACAGTCGGTTGCTAGTTTGTTAGCTTCAACTAGCTAAAACTGAAACAGTCTAATATGACACCTAACAATAAATCCTTCATAAAGGTGATAACGTTTAGAGGTGTTGATTCAACTTTATGGTAGTTTTGGAGGCTGATTGTGGTGCTGGTGATTTAGACTTTCATTATTAATACAAATAACATAGGGAAGATCAATAAGGTTGGTAAGGACAGGTGAAAACTCAGTTAAGGGTTTTGTGTGTTTTCTGTGTATATCTACACTCACCGGCCTCATTAACCTAAAAAGTGAACGCAATAACTACAGGAAGTTTGTGTAAAATTAGAGTTTTCGATTCATTTTGAGCATATTTTTCCTGTGAATGCTGCATCAGTGATGAGTTTTCCCGACATTTTCTCTAACTTTTTATATTATTCTCTGCTTGCATTGTGCTACAAAGCACGTCTCCTGTTTCTACAGCCAATCAGCTTGTAGTGACGTCCGCTGGTTAAGTCCACAGACAGCGAATACAGTCCATCTGATGCTCATTTTGTTTGTGTATTTCGCCTTTTCATCACCACTACAAATGCAGCTGTAGCCAGTATCTCACTATCACTATCCTCATTCATACTTTAAGAAGCTACAAATTATATTCAGCCACAAAATAAGCTGGAAATCAGAGCGGAAGAACAGAGAGTTGTTGCATAGCGATGATAAAACATCTCATCTAGTTGCACTGGTGTGAACGGGCAGGTTTTTAGAGCATTGCAGAATGGCGCATTGCAAGTAGTTTCCTGGTTGAACTTGTCTTGTCGTGAATCTTTGGTCTGAACTGGGCAATAGTCTGTGAGAATTTTTAAGTCAATGTCTTGAATGATAACAATTTCATTCAGTTTTACCTGTCAGGGACTTGGTATTTGAAGAAATGAGTGACATGCTGAGATATAGCCCTGTTTTCTTATGCCCTTAAAAATCAAAAAGGCCTCACGACCACCCTGTGAAGCTTTGGCGGCACCTAGTCAGGCCCCCCAGGTTAGGAACCAGTGGTGTGGCATATGGACCCCAGCTAGGGGTGAAAGTGTCGACCTTTTCCATTAAAGCCATAACAAAATGGAACTCCCTTCCATCCCATAGCCAAACTTTTGGTTATATCTCTGTATAATGCATAGGATTTTATTTATTGAAATGTATGCTTGTTAAAAAATAAATGAAAGATTAATGAATAAAAAATATGCCAGCATAGTTGAGTATGAGAATGTGTGTGTGTGTGCTGTATGTGTGTCATTAAAGAGAAGAGGTCAGATCGATAGCTAGCTGTGAAAGTGTTTGCTTTTTATATTCCGTATTCATGCACGTACACAATCACCCCAGGCTATCACTGAGGGTACACGCAGTGACACCACGTCACCACCCTCCGGGCAACTGTGTGAGTTAAATTGAAATGGATTTCTGCGTTTCCTGTCCTCCCTCTCATATTTGAACCATTCGTCAGGAGGCTGGAACCACATTTATTGCCAATAACTCCAAACTGGAGACAGGACGTATAATTAGTTGTGTGTGTTTGTGCATAACTGTGTGTCTGACCTGCTCGAGGGCCACGGAGCGCGTCACGCTGCCGACATCAGTCAGCCGGTGCTCTCTGTCGTCCCAGCGACCGTAGGCCAGGTCGATCCCGCCCACGAAGGCCACGGATTGGTCGATAACGACGATCTTCTCGTGATGTGCCCACAGATAGACGGAGGAGGAGACGTGGTCTGGGTGACGCATCACCTGGAACACAAACATATGAAATATGATAGTACATAGAAGGTATTATATGTAACAGTGTGTTTATTTCTTCACATACTTGGCCAAAAAGCTGGTTCTGGTTTCTTTTCATCATCTCCAACAAGTCATTAACAAATAATACAAAAAGGATTTGGATTTTCCCACACCATGAACACGATGTAGAATAAAGCAGCTGGACTCGGCTCACTGAGAATCTGTTGGGATTAAACTTCAGAACAGACTGTTTCTGTTTGTCTTTCTCCATTTCGGTTTCTGACAGGGAACCTTTTGATTACTACGGAAGCCCTGAGAGGCACGTAGGGAAAATAAATCTGGTGGTACATTTTCTAAATCTGATCAAAACTGCTTTCTCTCCTGTGTTTATGACCTACGAACAGGTGAAAGAAAAGATATTTCCAGGATGACTTTCCAAGTTCCTTTATTTCTAAACATGTGAAACAGGTGAAAAAAAGTTTTGCCAGAATCATTTTTTCTAAGTTACCTTTTTTTTCCATCTGTGAAAACATCCAGGTTTTCTTCCAGGTGAGTTTCAATTTCTAATGCTAACAGCATATTAGCGCCTATTAAAATACATTTCCAGCCAAAAGAAAGACATGACAGAAATGTTACAATGTTGCTAAAATTGTAACTAGCACATAAAACACATACATGTACCTTGTGATTAAAGAAATAAGAAATTAAACTCACCTGGAAGAAAACAAAATGCTTTTAGTCCTATTTAAAACACGTGTAGTGGTGCACTTCAGCCTCTTTTGGCCAAAATGAGTATTACAACAACAAACACACCAATTTTTTTTTCTATGGCCAAAACTTTTGTTTCTTTTTTTACCTGATTGCACACATTTAAAAAAGCAACTTGAGAATAAATGATCCTGGCAAAACCTGTATTGTCACCTGTTCTTAAGTCATAAACGCAGGAGAGAAAACAAGTTAGATCACATTTAAAACAATGGGTCATCAGGAGTGTTTTTCAAAGCGCGTACTTCGGTTTCTGTTCTGTTTCTCCATACTTCTGGGACTGTGTGCAAGTGTTGCTCTGCAGTTGTAGAGGATGTGAATGGAAACCCAACATATAAGCTACTAACGTCAACCAGGCCAGATGTGTCGATCATTGTTACGAGGAGAAAACAAACCGGAGGCTACTTATCCCCGCTACTTTCAGGGAGCTTTAGGACGCAAAAAGCAGAATGGGAAAAGGTGTAGGTATATGAATGGAAACAGACTGGACATGATAATGCACAATACGATCACCGGCACCCTTCTATAATTAAGCAGTATCTCACGAGAGGGAGTGACGTTGTACTGTATATCGTCACAGCTGTAATTCGGTCATAGGCACCGAATTAATTGGTTGGTCTCTCTAACTGTGTGTTACAACATCACGACCTCGAGTGTGATATTGCTTTTATACAACGGTTCAACAACAGCTTAAACACCAATGCTGACTATCCACATCTCTAGCCCCCCCTTTCTCTCTCTCTCTCTTTTTTCTTTCTCTCTCTTTTCTCTTGTCAACTTTTTTTTTTTTTTTTTTTTTTTNACCGGAAATTGTGGGTTGTGTGGTTTTGACGTTTGTGATGTCTGTTGTTCATTACTACGGGTATGAAGGTGGGAGATTGTGGGACAGTAGAGACTCGCCCAGTAGTTGGGGCAATAGGAAAGCAGGAGGGATTGTCTGTAGAGGTTAGTGGCAGCTGGAGCCTGTAGGGGGAGCTACGGGAGGCAATGGAATGCTCTGTAGAAGAAGAGGCAGGCACTGAGAAGGGGGTGTGGTACGTAAACAGTCAGGCATGTGTGAGTGGTGTTGTGTGTATGGTATGCTGTATGTTGGCTGCTAACACGCGGCTTCCTAACTTGCTCGGGTGAAGTCCGTCATGTCGATAAAAGGAGGGGCGGTTCCAAAATAAGTTAAAATTGTCTATGAAATAAAATCCGTGGATATTGCAGGCGGTTCGGAGCCAAGCCTGGAGTTGAGGTCATCATGGGTGTTATAAGGTCAAATCACAGTACATTTTTCACTTACATCCTGGCATACAATGTCACACTTTTCTCAACAGAGTTGATACACAATCCATTTCTCCCAATATTTTGTACATTTTTCCATCTCAAGTCTTAAGTCTTTCCGTACATTATATTTTGTTAATAATCCCCAACCACTGGGCTAACGTTGGAGGATCAACTTGTTATGACGAGTTATGGTTTTCCTGCTTCTTGCTAAAGATATCTTTAATAAATATTTATCTTTGTGTGGGACAGTTTTGGGTATTTTTCTTAAGTATAATATAACAAATGAGTGGACTAAATCCATCCCAATTTTCTTACGAATCTCAGCTGCATTCTTTTACCTATATGGATGTATTTTTGGGCAAGCCCAGAAAACATGATAATGACTGTCCAGTGAGGTTCTGCATTGCCTCCAACAAAAGCCACAGCTTTGTAGGCCTGGTGATAAAGAATCGTTCAAGGTTTTTCCAACCAAGCTCCCTCAGGGACCTTGAGTTTGCAGTAACTGATTGTGTCTCACATATCTCTGTCCAGTCCTCTGTTATTTGTATGTCCGATTCTTTCTCCCATTTTTGTTTAATATAGTTTGTAGAATGATTCTTTGAAATTTAAATACTGTACAATCTTGAAACTGACTTTTTAGTATCTCCCATTATGTATGCATTTGAAAATATAGTAATGAGGTTGTGTTCATTTATCTTTAAGGTTTGAATCTCTAACTTGCAGGTATCCGTTGAAGTCCTGCTTTTCTAGTCCAAATGTGATTGATATATCCTGATAGCTCTGAAATTTTCTGTCTTCTGACCCACAGTTTAAATCTCCCATCCAACCTAGCAAGTTCAAATCCTAGGTCAAATGCTACCCAACTCAAGATCCCTTCCTGTTTCTCCAAATGCAATTTCCTCAACACCTCATAGAAAATAAAGTCCTTTGGTTCAGTTTACTATAGCTCCTCTTGGCCTGACTTTTGTTACCGAGTAAAGTCTGTATTGGAATATCTACCTGAGTAATTTCCAAAGTCTTCAGGGCTATCCAAACATCATTCAGACTTAACAGCATTCTCAACATTACTAGCCCGCCGACTTATCCTGTTTAACTGGCGATCCACCACATCTCCATCCCATTCACGTTGGGTTCGCGAGGTGATGACATTTGTTAAGTTAGAAAAAATCAGATGCACAATTCAGGGATCGGTGAAAAGGTTTCAAAAAACTTGGCATGCCTTTTTAGGATATTTTACAAATGAATTTGACGCAAGCACATTAGATCAGTAGCTATCCACATCTCTAGCCCCCCCCCCCCCCCCTCTCTCTCTCTCTCTCTTTTTTCTTTCTCTCTCTTTTCTCTTGTTGACTTTTTTTTAAATTATATATTTATTTTTTTTATGCAGCCACCTGTACATGGTTTGGGTATTGAGAATGTAACAAACTACTGAAGCAAGAAACTTGTAGGTATGTACGTGAAGTTTGTATGTATATGTTATATTCGATACACGCAGGATATTGTATTCATGTAGAGCGTTCAGGCAACTGTGTCTTCTGGCTCTGTGTGTCAGGTTTGTTTGTTTTTGTTTTTTTCTATTGAAAACTTAATAAAAACAATTGGAAATGAAATGAAACAGCAATGCTGAGTAAGGAAATGTTAACAAAAGGTGATGAAATAAATTATTTAAGTATGTTATGTAGCTCCGCGAAAAAAAAAAACAAAAAAAAAACAGTTCCCCCAGTCTGTTGCCAGGCAACGCAGCACACACGCCAGGAACTCACAAGCTACTTTGTATTTACATTGATCTGCAGCTGTGTAACTTCGTCCAGCTCGGCTGATAAAACATTGGCAAACCTGGATGTTGGCACGGCCGGATTCAAACACACCTGGAGGTCTGCACAGAAGAGTCCTGGCTTTCCTTTTCCTCGTCCTCTCCTGACGACCACTCATAATTTAATTCAAATGTAATTTTGGGGAAAATATCCATCTTCTTGGTGTAACGCTATAGTGTCAGTTTGTGTCAATGTAGCGAGTGTGACAGTTGGTTAATTAACGGTTGTATTTATTATTTATTATTTATAACACCTGTGAGCGGAGTGATTTTACTGTTACATGTCCCAGTGATGTTATACTCTATATCAGCACTCACGGAATGCCTCTCGTCCAATCAAATTACTCGGTCAGAACTAACTGTTGTGTAATTGTAGCATATAATGTATGACATGACACAACAACCTTCGGGGGATGCTTTTTCTGGTGGCACACTGGTGGAAGCAGAGCAGTATGGATAAATGAAAAACGAAAACAATAAACAGTGTATTTCAGGTGGCAACGCATTACATGACATTGTAAATGTAATAATATAACCCGAAATTCTGTTGGTACCACGTTATATTAGTTTGTTCCTGCAAAAAAGTAATATATTACCACACCAGTCCCAAACAAACACTCATTATAACACTGTCGTTTCTGATTTGTTCACAATAAACAGTCAAGTTTGTCTTTCAAAACCCGTTTAGAACTGCATCCTCTTTCACTACCCATAATCCCTCAGTTACCTTGATGTTAGGGTGCAGGTGCATGAGGGTCCTCTTGCTGTAGCCAGAGTTGATACCCAGGGCGAGCTCCACCTCCTTATACAGCATCACAAAGATGCGCACTCCCTGTTGCTGCAGAGACAGACAGGAAACACAACATTGAGAACACATTTCATGACATTAAACACGTTCTACTGTTTATATTTCATTGGTTTCAATACGTCATGAAGCACTTCCGAGGAGGAGATCCTGATTATTGTTATCTGATGTTATCCTAATGTTTTTATGAGTGCAGAGTCTGTAGTGCTCAATGCTAGGCCTGGGATTTAACGTCAATAATGTTAATCTAGCAGCTCAAGTACTTACTGCTTTGCGTTTGAGGGTACAGTCCAGTCTCCACCTGTTGCCCTCCACCACAGGTCTCTTCAGGAAGATCTCTGGACTCAGCCTGGCCAAAAAAAGAGGTGGACACAGACATAGAGTGAAAAACTTACACATTTCTGAAAGCATCATTACCTACTAAAACTTTAAAGATGTAGAAAACTGATGTTTACATTCACCCTTTAGAGCTACCAACACATTATAAACACTTAACATATGACAGACATGACATAATGATATAGTCTCAACATGAGTCATTCACACTGGCATCCTGAGCTTACACGTCCACAATGCCATTGGCTCACATTACACAGGCTGACACCTCATTGGTTTAGACCATAAGCCCAGTGATTACTGCCTTGGAACACAGGGATTTCAGCCACATCGAACAGTTGCACATTTGGCTCAGAGGGACCATAAAGCATTAGATTCAAAATTACACTTTGACGAATATTATAACTGTGGCAGAGGGGACAAAAGCCGTGTTTGTTTCCTGTTAGAAAACTCCACAAAAACACTGCTAAAGGGAGAAGGAAAGAAAAAGGCACTTTAAGGATAGCTGATTATTTGATTTGCATCTTTGAAACACCACTTGCAAGGTCACTGTACCCTCAGATGTGACCGTCATCTGACAATAAGACTTTTTAAATTCGACTTATTATATTTGTTTTGAACTCAGCTTCTTCATTTGAACACATTTCAGACGCTAAACTTCATTATATATTTGGCTTACATGCCCGTGTGAAAAAGACACACACACACAGTGCAGGGTGGCCCATCTGTACTTTCAACTCCTCTGACAGCTCACATAATCAGTTCTTATCTGAGGAACTTGACCCAGACAGTGAATTAAGAAGAGACAGACAGACGGAGACAAAGGGCAGCGGAAGTGTAAACAGATACTTTATGGAGACTTGGTCTTTCTCTTAGTGTATTTCTATTCTGGGTGAGTGGATGAGGTTGTAATTAGAGCCACGGGCATTGCGTCACCCAGACAGCCAGGACTTGTGGGTAATACATAATGTAATGTGTAGCAGCATGTACTACACCAGCAGGGTATCAAAGTGTCAGCTTGTTCTTTGAAAGGTGTGTGATGATGGCCCCTGTGTGTGTATCAAACTACTAAAGTAAGCTATCATAACTATTCTATGTTGTTTTCAGCTGATGCATGATTATATTTTCACAGCATCATCTACTTACTACAATTAAGAAACTGCTCCTACTAAAATAATCAGCGACCTCAGACGAAAATTCTGATGAAAAAAAGGTCTCAGTTCTTGTCCTCTTAGACCTTAGCGTAGCATTTGAAACGACTGATCATGACATCTTAATCAATCGTCTTGAAAATTTGGTTGGTCTCTCTAACTGTGTGTTAAACAGGTTCAAAACATACATTACTGGGAGGAAGTTTTATGTCAGTCTTGGAGATCAAGTGTCTGAGAAACATGACCTCTCATTTGGGGTTGCACAAGGGAGCTGCCTGGGTCCACTATTTTTCCCACTGCTGCCACTTGGTGACAACATTAAAAAACACCATAGTTTCCATAGTTACGCAGATGACACGCAACTGTACATGTGTGCTGAACCAAATGATGCTGCAGCCATTAACTCCATTACTCCCAGTCTTTTGGCTGTAAATACATTAATCAGCAATTAATTCTTAAAGATAAATGAGGACAAAACTGAAATCCTGCTTGTCAGCCCTTAAACAAAAAGAGAAATGCTGTTTACTAATCTGGGGAATTTAACTCCCTGGGTGACAAGTCCTGGTGTGATCCTTGATTCAGATCAGAGCCTCAGGTTCCACATAAACAAGACCACCTCAGAAACACAGCTAAGGTACAACCATTTCGAAATGAAAAAGATTCAGAGGAATTGATTCATTCCTTTATCTCAAGCCGATTGGACTACTGTAAAGCACTTTTTACAGGCCTCCCAAAAAACACCACTGAGAAACTTCAGCTGATTCAAAACTCAGCAGCTCTGCTTTTAACCAGAACCAAAAGGAAGAGCACATCAGGCCAGTCTTACCTGCTCTGCACTGACTTCCTGTTGCATTTAGAATAGATTTTAAGCTCCTCCTCCTTGTATACAAAGCCCTAAATGGGCTGGGATTGATCTACATTGCTAACTCCCTTGTTAACTATTTGCCTCCAAGAACACTGCGATCATCCGCTGCTGGTTTATTGGAGGCTTCCAGTAACAGCCGGAGGAAAACTGGGGATGCAACCTTTGATAATTACGCCCCAAAGCTGTGGAACAAACTACCTATAGATGTCAGGGAAGATAGCTTGCTGAATATTTTAAAAAGAAAGCTAAAAACGTATCTGCTCATATTAGCCTTTAACTAGCTCTGACTTTCTGATACAGGTCTGACACTCTTTTTTTTTATGCTTCCGTGCTGTATTTCTTGAAAGGTTAAGTCTATTATTATTAAACCATCTGAGAAAGACTTACAGGTACAAGCACACAGAGAGACATATGTGTGATGGTGGATGCTGATGCAATCAATGCTTGATGTGTGCACGTACACATCATTCTGCAATATAACATATCTTGCCCTGCCCTTTTAATATTTTTTTTAGGACTCTTTTGCCTTTATTCAAGAATCGACAGCAGAGGAAGATTGAAAACATGGGGAAACAGCGAAGGGGACTGATACACAACAAAGGTTACAAGCCAATAAACAGCACTGTACCAAGAAAGGCTCAGACGAAGAGTGCGAGCGAGCAAGTAAACAAGGCTGTAAACAACGCAGGGCTTAAATGTTTAGAAAGATCGTCTTCATGAGGACAGAAGTGTACTTGACATGTTGACCTCGAGGATACGCATGATGTGTTTTGGTGACTCATACTTAATGTAAACATAACGTTTGTTTGTTTACAGAGTCAACAGGGGCACCTTTAATTCAGGCTTTCAGGTATCACGAATCTGGCTCACTTTTAAGCAGGGTGCATCGCCATGGTTACCTGCAGCATGCTGTACGGCACGGCTTACCTAAGATTCCGAGGATCAGACCTGACCATTTTTATAGCTCAGTAAATCATTTTGCCCGCTGTGATAATTATGTCAGAGACAGAAGAAACATTTTTGCACAGCCGTGTGTCTAAAGCACAGATTTTTTTTAAATAGAAACTGTTTTATTTAGTGTTTTACTGGGTTTTAATTATCAGTTCGGTTTGTTCTGGAGAAAGAGGAGGAGGGATGCCAGACCGATGGTGACCTGGTGCTGTTACTGCTGTTACCCTCTACTTAGGAGACTCGCTGTCTGCAGGTCCGCTGCCTCAGGTACATTTTAAGATAAAGTGTTAGCCTACATACAGACAGCTTTCATTTGAGTTTGTCTTTAACACTGTTCCTAACGCTGTTAGCACTGCTAGCGCGATGTGCTTGTGTTGACCACGATCGACTGAAATATGGCTTTCTACATGCTGATCACATGTATTGATAAATTATTGGCTTGGCTGGCAGAGGTTTTATCGCACTTACTTACAGTAACAAGCGTAGTTGTCGTCAACTAGAGTAATCTTGAAGTTATATTCCCTTCATCTGCACCGCGGCCTCTCTGCTGTTGTCTGACTTCACTCTGTTGAGTTTGTGTGTGTGTGTGTGTGTGTGTGTGTGTGTGTGTGTCTGTGTGTGTGTGTGTGTGTGTGTGTGTGTGCAGCGCGCGCTGTGAGTAGGGGAGTGTATCTATCCAGGAAACATAGGGATGACCCCGTGAGGGGGAGCTCAGCCCTGACAGGGTCATCCCTATGTTTCCAGGGTTCTTTGTTTCCCGGGTTCTATGTTTCCCACTTAACCCTGCAAAAAAGGTTCTATGTTCCCCACTTACACAAAAAGGGTTCTATGTTTCCTGCTTGGTTGAGCGGGCAACATAGAACCCGGGAAACATATAACCTTTTTTGTGTAAGCGGGGAACATAGAACCTTTTTTGCAGGGTTAAGTGGGGAACATAGAACCTTTTTTGCAGGGTTAAGTGGGGAACATAGAACCCGGGAAACATAGATACGCTCCCACCCTGACATGCAGAGAGCAACTCATTTGCTCATGTTCTGAAGACATGATGATCGAGCATTACACGGCCAGCTTCAGGAAGTTCACCGGTATCGTTGGCTTGTCAACAAATGCACGCGCAGGAAGATTTTTGTGACAGCTGTAACAGACTTTACCGTTTTTCATCTGTAGGGGGACCCCGGGAGGTAAAAAGCACAATCCTCCATTGTGTTGCTTCAAGTTGCCAGGGATAAAAAGCTGAGCACATATTGCAGAAGCTGGTCTGGCAACCTGTCTGTGACAAGCTGAACAGCATTGTAGAAACACTACTTTGTAACATGAAACTGCTTTATTCAGCGTTTTTACTGGTTTAAATCACCTGGTCCGTTTGTTCTGGAGAGTAAGAGTCCTCTGTGGGTAATTCAGCTCCCAGTAAAAACCTCCTGAACAATGAATCCTAACTGGGAGTTCTAGTTTGGCACACAAGTGTCACCTGGTTGCTATCTGCTAACCTCACCACTGGATGCCACTAAATCCTACACACTGCTCCTGTCAGCATATCACTTAATCTCAATACTTTATTCATTATGTAACAGAAAATTTTCACTATGAAATAAAATGAATGCATAATCTTGACTGGAGTTAATAGCCAGCTTTGTTACACTGGTTATCCAAAATTTCCTGTGTTTGGTTCTGTGAAGGCCGGTAGCTCAAAGAGAGCCAGATATAGTTAAACTTGCTTCGTGATACAGGCTCCTGGTTGAGTGCACTTACCCGGAATAGACTATGTCTTTTCAGTCTTTTTGCTTCTCAGGGCTTATTAGTGTCAGTTTTGGAGACAGTTGAAGCTGCTGCATTAAAGCAGAACTGCTAAAACCCACTGAGCTGTGTACTTCTGGGTTCTCATACTTCAGCGCTGACAGCAGGCACATCTTAACCACAGTGTCACATCATGCATCTGTACACAAACAATACACTAAAACTCACCACCAGTCTGTGATAAAGATTTCCTCTTTAGCCTCCTCTAAAGCATCGGCCACATCCTCCATGTAAGTCTTTCCATTCACATACCTGCAAAGAAAATAGTTGTGTAAATTACATGTGAAAATTACTCCCATGTGCTTGTGTTGACACATACACACACACACACACACACACACACACACACACACACACACACACGCAGTCTCAACCTCGCAAGCTCCAGGCTACACCCATAGCTGTGTCATCAAAACATAAATGCTCTGTTTTTTTCCATTAGCTCACAGGACTGCAGCCTGTTTTTCCCTCAGGCTCCGTGCTGAGTGCAAAGACAATGTAATGACATTATCGCACAGACGATTCAATATCACAGAATCTGCCAGCTGAGGGGGAGAGATCGCAAAAAAAAGACCTGAGAGACGAATAAACAGCCAAAAGAGAGTTGAGTGCTTGGTCCTCTCAAACATTTCTATTGTTACCAGAGAAAGGAGAAACACAGGAAGACAGAGGGAACATAAAATATGGAAAATGTGCGTTAAACATGTATGTAATATATTAAAAAATATTAAAAATAAAATACATATTGTCACTTACACAGCACAGTGACAATATATATATATTTTTTATATTTATTTTTAGCATAATGTACATTTTATTTTTGTTAATGTGCATTTTAATTTTTTTTAATCAATTTTTTTAATTTTAATATTTATTTATTTTATCTTACTGCTTTATTACGGAAGCGTATTGCATTCACTTGACAAATAAAAAAAGCTCTGTTTTCTGAGTATTTTTTTCTTTTTTTTGGAGTAATTTATTTATTTTTCTGTTTTTTGGTGTCATTTTTTCTGTTTTTCGGAGTAATATTTTCCCTGTTTTTCGGAGTAATATTTTCTGTTTTTCTGAGTAATTTTTTCCCTGTTTTTCGTGGTGATTTTTTTCTGTTTTTCGTGGTAATTTTTTTTCTGAACGAGGAGACGAGATACTTCAAAATCTCGCAAGAAGCTCCCACCTGGCACCTGCAAGTGACCGGTGCCTGCGTAAAGTTGACAAACAGCAACTGTTACGAATCACAATTTCCCCATGGGGATCAATAAAGTATTTCTGATTCTGATTCTGTGTTCTGAGTATTTATTTTATGCTACAATTAACAGCTTTCTTGTAAAGAACAAAATTAAATCTTCACATTTCTTAAATTGTATATTTATATTTTCAGTTTGAGTTACTTTTGTAGAGCTGAAAAGTCACAATTTTAAGACGTGAAATTGTAAATGTAATTGTACAACAGTATATATGTCTGTTAGAAAGAAACAAATGTGGAACTTTAATAAAACAAATGCAAATCTTTGCTTTTCTTTTTTCAATTATATGTTTCTAGTTCCAAAAATTGTGCTCTCTCCTGGCATAGTTACCATTTGGCGGGGATGTTTTCCTGTTCCTGCGCAAACGATCCGCAGCGGTGATCTCGGAGGAAAGCCTTCCCATGACTCCTCACGAAGCTCTCGATGCTCTGACCCCACCAGCGAGCGTGTCTGTAGCTGCTGCACTTAAACACCAGGGTCCTGCCAGGAGGATGTACACAGACACAATGAAATACACACCTGAGCTCACACACACAGATACATTTTACTGGCCCTTACATGAACTGTATTAGTGCCAAAAAATGAGGCAATCCAAATTTTTAGTTTCATTTCACCCTCAGCTTAACACACTGCTGTTCGGTTTATAAAAGCAGGCATTGTGTTTTTCTTTTACGAGATAACAAAGCTCTGTAACCATTCCTAAAATAAAATAAGCCCTGGATTAAGAGCGTTGGAATGAAAAGAAGCTGAAGAAAACAATCCGCCCTGTAACAGCAGTCTGTTCACAACAGCTTTAAGCAAAGAAGCTGTGATTTTTGTTTTTGATTTTTTCTCCATTTTTTGGAACAGTGGTTGAGATTTGTACTTTAAATTGGAGAGCAAAAAGGTTTATAGCCATCTAAAATGATGGATTAATGGTAAAAAAAAATCTGGTTTTCCACATGGTGATCAGCAGAGAAATGTAACACATTTTCAGCAAATGACACAATGGGCCTCTGGGTACAGACAGCAAAAGGCACCACCACCTCTCCTACACAGGACCAAGACAGTCGCGTTGCTTTCACACCTGCCCTGTTCGGTTCGGTTCAGTCGAACTCAAGTTCATTTGTCCCCAAAGTGCGGTTCGTTTGGGCAGGTGTGAACACAGCAATCACACTCAGGTGTGCACCAAAACAACCAGACCGAGACCTTCTTGAAGAGGTGGACTCGGTTCGGTTACAAACGAACTCTGGTGCGGTTCATTTGTGGTGAGAATGTGTTCCGACCTGGATCTGAACCAACTGCAGTCACATGACACATTGTTTGGGTTAAACATGAGCATGTTACAGTCCTGGAGGATTATTAATGTGCACCTCCTCCTGTACTGCCTTAATATGCACATTCAGCACATCCAATGCATCAAAACATTGTTTTCTAGTTGGAGCCGCGCCTCGTTTTCAAACTGTATGGTTTGACTAAATTGAACAATTACAGCAATATAGTCCACGATGAGCAGCGCTAAAATCAACCTGCGTAGTTGTCCCTCCATTGTGACATTAGAAAGTGTCACATTTATCTTGCAAGTGTACTCTTCTTCAACGTTTTGTTTACTTCCTGGATTTTTCCCGCATGGAAATTCTGACCAAGGCGTTTGATCTGGTCCACTTTGAGACAAAATTAGTCCCTGATTCGGACCAAAGCAAGATAACTCTAGGTCTTAAAGCACCGTTAGAGTTTGTGGTTGTGCGTCTCTTTGTGGTCGTTATGCATCATTTGGTGGTTTTATGTTTCTTTGTGGTGATTTTGTGTCTATTCGTACTGATGGCCTTATGGTTGTTTTGCCTGCTTTTGTAGTTCTTTTGTGTCTCTTTCAGTTCCTTACCATCTCTTTGAGGCCTTTTTGTGTCTCTTTGTGGTCATTTCAAGTCTCTTCCTGGTTGTGTACGTGTTAATTTCAGTGGTATTTTGCAGGTGAAGGCCATTGGGGACCCCCAGGCCCATTCAGTAATCCATCCATGGGCCTGTTCTCTTGAGAGTGTAGGAAGTCTCTTATAAGTCTATTTCTTTTACTGTGGGATATATAACTGTTTGGGGTACATTTTCACATCACAAACTGACTATCAAAATATATACAGTATGATAACTCCTTGGGCATCTGCAGCAAAATTCAAATGTTCAACCGTACAGACACAGAAATATCACCTGGACAGGCTGTCAATCCGCACTCCATGTTTGGTCTCTGTGTCTTTGGAGTCCATCTTGATGCTGAACTCTTTGTCCACCAGCAGGACGAACGAGATGGCCCCTGAGTCTGGCTTCATGTACAGCAGGCACGAGTCCTTCACCACCAGCCAGCTACACAACACACACACAGTCCTCATCAACATAATAATCATCATCAGGATTTGTGTGTAACGCTCTGCAGATCTCGAATGAATGCTGTGGAGCATTTCTTATATCTCTCATTTTAAGGAAAAGGTGTAGGAAGAAAATCATCATGGGGATGTAGGTGGATGGACAGAGTGTTTCAAACGTGTGGGATTTTTTTGTGTTGTCTTCAGAAAACAACAATAAGAACTGCTCACATAATAATTTGGCTGTGATGAAGAGAAAGAAAACAGACAAACAGATGAAGCGAGAGGCAAGCATGTGCCAATGCAGCTGGGCCGAAGATGCTACGAAGATTCTGTCAGCAAACTACAAAACATCACGACAGCCGAAAGTAACACTTAATAAGATATTATTATTATTGTGGTTTTAAATATGCAATGAGTGGTCACTGGCTTTTAACACCCACACTCTGACAGCTTCCTGCCAGAGATCTGAGTCTGGAATGTGTAATTTCTTTCGTACATAGCTTCCATCACACCTACATGTAGACATGTTTGCCAGTTAAAGAGAGAAATTCAAAAGTAAAATAAAAACATGGATCCTTTATCTGGTGTTTTATCACACTTGTGAACTGTAGGCAGGATTGTTGCTATATAAAGCTGTTTGATTACAAGAAGAAAAAACAGTCACAAGCAGTGAGATACAAATTGTGAGTATGGCAACAAAAACAATAGCAGGGACAGACTGAAAGACAAGGATAAGGTTGAAGAGAGCGACATACAAGGACAGAGGTAACCACACACCGTTTGGACCAGCGGTAGCAGGCCTGGCTGTGACCACAGCAGTTCATGCCAGGAATACGATGTCCGCCTGAGCGCTTATAGATCATCCCTTCCCTGCAAGAGACAAAAACGTCAAGTATCTTCAAAGAAAAAAGGACGTTGGGGTGGAGGGAGAGTAGAGACTTTGAATATTGTGGTGGATCTGAAAACTGCCCAGTTTTTGCTGTTGCTCAAACTACAGATTGTACTTCCGCATTTTTGTATGCCTGTGACCACAGACACAAAGAGTATCTCTCAACTCGGACCAAACTCAGATCAAACAGTGAAACTAAGCAGTGCTGGTCATGTACAAACCAAGATTCTGTTACTGTATTGCCTAAAATATTTTCATTAACAAATCTGAGTGCACTTTTTGGCTGTAATATGGGAATTTGCGAGCAGGAAGTGGGCGTCATCTTGTTTCCTGCGGGGGGTGGGGGGGGGAAACGAGAGACAAATGGTAAAAACAAGCAGTGCTGATCAAATATAAACTAAGCTTATTTTACTGCTTTGCCTAAAATATCCTCAGAAACATATTTTCATATATATTTATATTTGCGAACAGGAAGTGGGCACCATATTGTTTCCTGGGGAAAAAAATCGAAAGAAAGTGGGGAAACTACGCAGGGCTGATCAAATTTAAACCAAGCTTATTTTACTGTATTGCCTAAAATATCTTCATAAACATATTTAAGGGCGCTTTTTGGATATAATGTGGGAATTTGCTGACAGGAAGTGGGCGCCATACTGTTTCCTGCAAAAAAAAAACAAAAACAAAGGGGAGAGACCAGTAAAACCACGCAGTCCTGGTCAAATATAAACCAGGATTTTACTGTATTGCCTAAAATATCTATCGAAACATATTTTAGTGCACTCTCTGACTGTAATATGAGAAACTGCAAACAGGAAGTGGATGTCATACTGTTTCCTGAGGGAAAAAAAAAAAAAAAAAAGAGAAAACGGTAAAACTAAGCAGCGATGATCAGTTATAAGCCAAGATTAATTTAATGTATTAAAATATCTTCCTAAACATATTAAAGGGCACTTTTCGGCTGTAATATGGGATTTTGCAAACAGGAAGTGGGCACCATACTGTTTCCTGAGAAAAAAAAACAAACAAGAGAAAACGGGAAAACTAGGCAGTGCTGATCAAATATAAACCCAAATTACTGTAGTATGTTAACTATTTCTCAACCTAAAATGTTTTCCAAACATGTTTTAGCTTGCTGTTTGAGTTCGTTATCAGCCACCCACCATGTTGTTTCCTGTGGAAAAACAGCCAAGCTCGTATTATGTCACCGACCAGCAGGAGCGTTTAATGGTCTGTTGCGGCGCTGTGTATTCTGGTAGTTGGAGGTTTTTCTACCTCTTGAGCAAAATAATATGCCACAGCTATTTTCCTGTTTTCTCTGGTCATGTAGTACCACATTCTAAAGTATTTGCATCTTTATATTGCATAGACAGCCCAGTCGAATGAGAAGACCTCTTCTCTTTCAGCAGGGAAATACTTCTTCAAAGACAGAGACATGTTCATCCTGATCCTCTAGATTTCAGCTCAAGTGCTTCACTCTGCTGTGAACCGTTCAGTGCTTATCCACCTGACACAAGAATTGTTTTTACAGATGGGTTGGGGGTCGGGGGGTTTGGAAGAAGAGAAAACACTCACAGTCCTTTGGGCCCCAAGTCATGAATAAAAGACAGCTGGCTGACGTCAATAAACTCCATCTGAGAATAGACAGGAAGAGAAAACAAGAGGATTCACACAGTGACTCCTGTAAAAAATACATACTGTGCACTTAACAAATCGACATGTGACTCTGAGCAGGCAGCTGTCGCAGTACGTCCACACATACCATCCACCTGGAGGCAATGTGAGTCATCGTCAATGATCTCAATATGTGTTGTCATCTCAGCTCAGATATTAACTTTCAATGTGTCAGAATGATGCATCGTATTAATATGTGAGCACATAACACGCACGATGCTCAGACTAAACCTCCTATTGATTTGTTTTAAAGCTCATTTCACAATTGAGTTAAGGTAAGTAAGGGTGAATGTAAGGTTTAGTATGCTAAAGAGTACACACTGGACGATACTGGCCTAAATATAAGGTGGTACTGGTGATAAGTCACTTCCTTTTTGCATTGTACTTGAAAATCATATATAGTAAATGAAAAGCAGTCGGCAAAATACTACTGTATATGTAACATCCTGTCACATTAAATATTTTTATGTCCAAAAATGAAAAAGAAACACTGTCTTTTGTCTTTCTCACAGTACTGCACAGTGTTCCTCCTCGGGGCATTTAGCAGATTTGAAAGCATTTGCTAGCTTAAATAAGCAGCAATAAAATACTTAAATATGCTGAGTGTGTCAACATAAAGCAGACACAGTGTGATGGGTAAACATATTAATCATCTGTGTCAACACTCACTGTTCCACCATGAGGACAGAGCTTAGCAAAATACTGAAAAATAATGTTGATTGTATTTACTTTTACAGAGCATCTACATAAGCTGCCATGATACATTCTGCTCATATGAGGTTGTTTTGAGGTCATGTTGTGGCTCCCTGAGGTGTTTTGTGTCTTTTTTGTGTGTTGCCTTGTAGTGTTGTGTGTTGTAGTGTGTTGCCGAGGAGAAATGTTTTAGAAACTAAAGAGCTAAACTGACCATTTTATAGCATTTTAAAATAAAAATCTTAGATTAGAGATTCTCAAAGTTTTGATATGTGAGTGCCATTTGGGTAACCAGTGTATGATTGAAGACCACAGAGGAAGTCCACACACTATGACTTTTTATGACATACTATACGACTTCTTATGGTTATGCTAAAAAAAGACACTGTTGATTATATTTAAGTTTGCAATGCATTTACAGTCACTAACAGGATACTGTAAAATTTTCAATTTAACCCTTTGAAACCTATAAAATAGGGAAAAACTACATTTATAATTATCATTACTGTATATTTAAAATTATGTTACAGAATCATTATTACAAATTTCTTGCTATTTTTGGGGGGTCATTTCTTCTTTTGTTCCCATGTTTTTGAAAAAAAAAAAAAAAACCCAAACAAGCCAATTTCGTCAGCTTTCAAAGGGTTAAAGCTGAGTCCCAATTATATGCCCAGTCCCACATTTTGACATGTACAGGCCTTTATATGTCAAAATGTGGCTACACATTTTGACATATAAAGGCCTATCTCAATTAGAAGCCTGGACTGGTTGCCAAGCAGTTTATTTATTTAATTATTTTTTTAAGATTATTTTTGTGGGCTTTTTTCCTTTTTAATGACAGTATGTGAAATGGGGAGACAGATTATATTTCCCTTCATTGCTGAGCAACATTTTTGCGTAAAAGGAATTAAGGGCCTGTCCCAAATATAAACCTACTGACTTCAGTGATTGGAGCAAATAATAGCTCGGGCTACTCATTTAAGTTTTACATTTGATACATATGTAGAGATATTTCTAATACACACACAATAAGTACAAACTTTAACTTGTAGTTGATCAGGCAGTCATTGTGTGGTTACGTGACAGCTTGCAGTGCTCAGTATGATTACTCACAGTATGGTGATATTTGCGGTACATGGCCATCTTCAGCAGCTTGTTCAAATAGTCTTCTAATTGTCTCTGTAGAAACACATACACTATATTTGGGCCATTGTGAGTATTTTAAGGACAAAATCAAAGCACATAATTACCAACATGCACACACACACACACACAGTCAGAGAGGGTATTAGAGGATACATATGCTGGCAAGGAGTTTAGTGCCATGGCAACAAGCGAGTGCCAGGAGAGCTCCTTGCCACGAAGTTAAGATATGACAAGAGTGAATTTTCCAACCAGAAAAAGAAACAGGCAGAAAGGCTGCAGGGCTCTGCAGCGGTGCGACGTACCCTCCTGCTGGAGACCTGCTCATCTCGCACCAGCTCGTCTCCGCTGCCCCTCGGCAGGGAGGGCATCTCCCTCACTTCACTCTTCCTCACTGTTCGTCTCCTCACTGTGTGGCTGAGACAGAGACAGAGGAAACTGAGATGATGATGATGTTAAAGTCCAAGCTATTTCAAAATTGCACAGTGTTTCCATACTTTGTCCTTGAAGTTTGGGGATGAACTTTAAGCACAAACAACTTCTGGGTGATGGCTTTTGTTCCATCATTGCCCGAAGCTAAAAACTCAAGTTTCAGCTGTTATTTTGACACATAAGTTCCTGTGTATCTTGCCGCGAGCAGTTGTGTAGAAAAGCAAATATAAAAGCTTGAATAAACTGACAGGTTGCAGGTTGACTCACTGTTGTGTGACATCAACCAGGGATATAGAACGGCAAAATGAACATTTATTCAACTGAAAACAACACGACTTCTTATTTTTGAGGCAAAAAGCAAGTACAAAACAATTGTAAGAATCCATCATGTGCCCCTGTCTATAACAGAATTAAGTCAAGATCACAGACAGGGAGAGAGAAAGAGGGAGTAAGGCAAAAGTAAATCCTATTAAAATTCAAGGGCAACATTCCTTTGTCTTGAATATCACCAGAGAGAGAAAGAGGGAGGGAAAGAGACAGAGACATAAGGGAAAAAGAGGAAAACAAAGGAAGGGAGTTGAGATGCCAGAGTACCACTGTACTGTTTGCAAAAGTTGATAAATTATTACATTCATGCATTTTCCGTAAGCTGGAGCTGAAGCCTATCCCAGCTGGGACAGGTCGCCAGACTATCACAGGGCTGACACATAGAGACAGACAACATTCACACTCACATTCACACCTACGGACAATTTAGAGTCATCAATTAACCTGCATGTCTTTGGACTGTGGGAGGAAGCCGGAGTACCCAGAGAAAACCCACGCCGACACGGGGAGAACATGCAAACTCCACACAAAAGGAAAGAATTGTTGCTGCTGTCGCTGTCAAGGAAACAGCTGGATTACTTTCCATTTTCCTCAGTGTCGAACAACTACCATAGTTTCCATAACTACTTCGATTGTTCCACCATCATTTCCTCTAATGGGACTAGTAACCGCCAATAAGTCACATTGAAACTCTTTGGTACCTGCTATGGATAGCTACTGGGAAAAATTAAAGATTTATCGTCTTCCTGTTTTGGTTATGCAACGGTTGGCATTGCCAATCGAACCCTCCTTTTCTTAGGAGATTAAACACAATGGCAGACACAATGGCATAGGCTAGTAAATACGAGGTTTATAGGGAACCACTCTAAACACTGATGGTGTAATTATTCGAAAGCCATGACACTGTGCAATCAACACTGACTTCATGATGATAATCTAAAGCAAAAATTTCCACTTTAAATGTTGTGTCTTGATTGTTTCATCCAAACACAAACGGAAATTGCTGAGCATACTGACTTCCTGGAGTCCTTTTGCTGCCTGGCAACTGTTGCTGCATTCAAGCAATGCCAGCAGAGTGGGAATAACAGGAAAACTTCGGTCAGCACAATATGAATGACCCAAGGAGAATAACACCTCGTTTCCACTGAGATATGTGTACATAGACAAGGCAACAGGAAGTCCATTCATTCCTATGTTTGGCTAACAGGCTGCTAACTGGCTAACAGGCTATTTCCTTCACTTCAGTTGCCTGTGTTGATCGTCAACTGAGTTTGTCTGATTAAAAAGAACTTGTTTATCTAGTTTTAACACACTGTGAATGAGTGATGTATTCTGCTAAAATATGGTTATACATTATATACAGCTAGATCGTCATTATGACTTGCTCAGCCGTTCATACGTCTTTTTAAATAAATATTTCATACAACATGCCATGTACCTGGCAGGTCCTGTTTCTGTCCCGTTAAAGTTCCGAGTACATGTTCCAAACTACTGTATGGTGAAAAACGGACAGAATTAGCCTCTCCCCCATGGCTACAGGTAGTTTCTATCAGGTTTCTTTCCATCGGTAAGGAAATGCACTTCCTTGCATTGGACACTAGAGGCATCATCCATGTATTTATAGATCTACAGTAGAGCTTAGATTCTCTGCCCAAGCCTGAACCCGATCCGACCCGTAGGCTGAGTCCAGCTGTAATTTCCCGCCACTATCCTCGGGCTCAGACGGGTGAGGCCCCTCCTTGACGGCACTACTGGCCACGCACATGTGAGTTGTTGACGGTGACAACGTGTGTGTCAGCTTCGTCGAGTGTACGAAGTGCAGCACGATGCTGGTACATACCAGAAAAAAGACGGGGACCTCGACAGATGACAGAGGCACATGACGAAGGCTTGCCATCGACGAGACGAGAGTCAGCCTTCAATGTCCACGTTCGTATCCTTAAAAAAAATGTCGGGTTTAAACCAGGCTCAGGCTCATAATTACAGTTAAAGGGACGGGACGGGCTCGGACAGAACATGGATTTTTGGAGCCCGATCTAAGCTCTAATCTATGGACATCAGTCACATACGTAAGTGGAAATGAGGTGTTAACCTGTTTTTTAGTAAAATTTACACTAGATGTGCTGGCAGATTTCTTTAACTTCAGACAGCCAGGCTTTCTGTTTCGCTTTGTTTCCAGTCTTTATGCTAAGCTAAGCTAAGCTAAGCTAATCATCCTCTGGTTCTAGCTTCATATTCAGACATGAGAGCAGCATTGATCTTCTTATCTAACTCTCAAGAAAGCAAATACGTCTATTTCCCTAAATGTAACACTACTCTTTTAATATGTTATACCTATACTCTGCGGGATTGTTGGTTTCTGTGTTTACACATGTTCACTAGCAAAAGTGAAAGTAAAACCAACCCAAAGTTCAGCCTTATTTGTTGTTTCGCCTCACTAAATTTGCATTTTTTTCAGTGCTGTGTCTCTTGGAAACCTGCTGCCGACCATCTGGCACCTGGCTGCTACCTTTTGATAAAGCCTCGACCTCACCTGAGCACCCATAACTCTCCTTAGTTCTGTATGAGCCTATGTATTGTTTTTCAGGAAAGACCTTCGTAGTATAACTTCGTGTGTGCACTTGTGTGTGTTAATCACACTGTGGGTAGAGAATCCTTTCGTAAAGTAACACTGTGGGGACTCAGGTAGGGACAGAAAGCTTTTTTCCCCACAAGGTCAGTGCAATGTGACAAAAACAAGTGTGCTGGTGGGAGTGTAAATCTACCAGTATGTGCATGTGTGTGTGTGTGTGTGTGTGTGTGTGTGTGCAGGCACCAACCTGCGTGACGGCAGCGGTATCCTCATGAAGGTCTTGTACGTCCTCAGCTCTCTGTGAAGCTCCATGAAGTGTTTCTCCTTCCTCTTGACCACCCAGGTAAACTCACCGTGCTTCAGCTCAATCTTGAACACCGCTGGCAGAGACTGAAGATACACACACAAGGTGGGAAAGAGATATTGGGGCAAACATTGGGGTTAGAGTCATTTTAGTTGCTGTGAGATGGTTGTTCTAAAAGCAAAAATTCATATTCAAATACATAAAGAATTGCAGCAGACACTAATTATAGAGGCTTTTATCCTGTGCAGCTCATAATTAACATCTGATCCCTATATTTTCTGAAATAGAAACAACCAAAGCTAAGGAGTGCCACAAAAGATAGTAATAATATCTGGATTGTTTTGTCATTAACAGTGTGTGCAGTACCTTGTTGACACTCCTTTGGTGCGACAGGTTGAAGCGGTCTTGTGCCGTGGTGAATCTCTCCACCTCAAGTATCCGGGCAGTAATGGGAACAGTGGAAAGGTAGACCTTTGCGCTGGCTTCCTTGAAGCCCACTGTGGCATAAACAGCTGAAAATGCAATACGACTGTCCCCTAGGAGAAAGACAGAGGCGGGTGGTTAGCGTGATTTTTTTCTTTTCTTCTGTTTGTGCATGTAGGAGTTGTTCCGGCTGCTTAGGAGCGAGTAGGCTGCATCTCCGAAAACTCAGCCTTTGTTCAAGATTTTTTACTTTGCAGTGTTGGGTCAAATGTTTCTGTTTATGCTCTGGTAAAGTTTGTGAGATCTAAATTATGTAAAGGAAAAATCCACCCTCATACTCCTGCACTGTTAGACACAAGCTCAGTTTCCTTTTGTAACTCAATTTTGTCAATTTTCCACACTGACAGACAATGTGAGCCCACTTTCCCTCAGCCTGGCTGGTTCACTGTCCCTCAGTTGTCCTACATCTCCCAGAGATCCTGCTTACAACCCTTGGAGGACATTCACATACTTACTGATATGAGATTATATCATCACAGAAACATTGCTTATGAATGATGAATCTAGTTCACAATCTGACAAGTTTCCTGGAAGTTTAATCTCTTGAGGACTTTACATAACAGCCTACTACCAGCTGATCTGTTTATCACTTGAATAACTGACTGCTCTGTTCAGCTGAGAGGTTTGCCAAGTATTTAAAGCAATCACAGTGGCACACTCTTAAAAATAAAGGTGCCAAGTAGAACCATATCTGGCTCTTCTGCTTCAGGTCCCCACAGGTCAGCGGTGTCTGGACTTTTTTGAATGGGGGCCAGATTAGATCATGTGAAAATACGTTAAGGGCCAGCTGCTTCTTACATCATATGGGTTATTAAAAAAAACACATACAAATGAAACATTCGCAACTGTTTAATCTTTCAGTGAAAAAGAATTCAATTTTCCATCACTGTGGAAAGTGGCGGCCCTCGCTGTCAGCTTAATGGCCATGTCTGCTACCTGGTAGGAAATATCTGCTGTTATACAACCATTAATTGCTTGTTTACAGTTTATGACAACACATTAGTTCCACCTGCGCAGTTCCTATTTGGTGCACATCTATAAACTGTATGATAGTTCTGCTATTGTGCAATGAACGGAGCAGATGTAGAGTGATCTTGCATTATTAACAGATGTGTGTTTTGGGCCACAATTAGTATATTTTAAACAGCAAGCCAGGGGCGGGCTCCAGAGGGAGTTCGGAGTAGAACCACCTCTTCTTTGCATTGAGAGGGGTAAGTTGAGGTGGTTCGGGCATCTGATCAGGATGCCTCCTGGGTGCCTCCCGTTACAGGTGTTCTGGGCACATCCCACTCGTAGGAGGCTCAGGGCAGACCCAGAACACACTGGAGGGACTACATATCTCATCTGGCTTGGAACCCCTTGGGGTCGTCTGGGGTGCTTTGCTTGTCCTGCTGCCCCCGTGACCTGGCCACAGATAAGCGGACGAAAACGGATGGATGGATGGAAGCCAGGGGCCATTTAAAATCATTCCACAGGCCACAATTGGCCACTGGGATGGACTTTGAACATGCCTGCCATAGATGAACCCTTTTTGGTTCTTGGTAAATCCTTTTATAAAGGTTCCACCTGGAACATTTTCAGACAGCTCTACCTAGAACATAGCATCCATGGTTATACCTTGGACCATCTGTGAAAGGCTCCACCCAAAACCACCTGTGAAAGTTTTTACAGAAAATCCTTCTATGGGATAACGTTTCCATCAAGAACCCTCTCTGGGGGATCTATCCAGAACCTTTCCACCTTGCTAGCAAGAACCTACCCAGGGGTACTACCGAGAACCCCTTAATAATCCAAGGGTTTCATCTAGGACCCACCCAGGACTTTCTGCTGAGAACTCTTTTTTATTCCACTAATTATGGTTTTAGTGTAACAGATTAGTCTGTGGCAAAGGAAACAAAGGCAAACAGCCTTAGTCTTCATGACACTCCTAATGGGCCATTAGTGATTGAAGGGATACTTTGCGGATTTTCAGCCAGCTTTGTATCACCGCAGTGAGTAGTACGTGTAAATGAACTGTGTTAAACTTCCCGCCATCCGACCTGTGCCTAGATATCCCTACTTCCCCCTGGCAAAACTCTGCCGGGTGACACTTACTGATGCAAAACACGTCATCCAGATGAGTTTTGCTTGCTGTCTGGGCTGTTTCTGGAACAGCAGGCTGTACTGCATCTTTGTATTGCCTGCCACCCATGCCGCCACAATGGACACAAAGAGTACAGAAGCAGATCAAAAGAGAGATCCACCTCTCTCACTGTCTGTCTCTCAAACTTGGACTTGGAAGACAGTATCTTTTCTATATGATGTGAAAATGATGATAAACACAAGTAAAACTGATTGATCAATGGGACATCAGGTACATCCACGTTTAAAAAAATACCATTGAAAACATGGGTAAACATTTAAATTTCTGAGGGTGAGGATCTTTTAATATCTATGCTTTCAACAATCCTTTAAAAACTTTCTTTCAAAATGTTTTTTGGATGAAAATGGTTCTTATTGGAACCCTTAATCCTACAAAGAACACTTTTCTTCAAAAAGGGGTTCTTCAGAAGCAAATGGTTCCGGGTACAACCTCAGTCTTTGGAACCCTTATTTCACTGAGGGCTATTTGTTTTGTTTATTGTTATTGTTTTATTTAAGGTATCACCTTATTCTTGGGTGAAATGATGGAATCACACTACTTGAGCCAGACAGAAAATATGCAAACACACACACACACACACACACACACACACACACACACACACCTATGTTGTTTCCATCATAGTCATTATCCTCTCCCTCCCCCATGTCCAGCTCTCTGGTATCCAGGCTCTCCACAAGCTCGGCCATCGTGATACCGTCGTGCGCGTCTGGGGCCGCTGTGTTTTCCTCAGAGTTCACCAGGTTAAGGTTACTGGTCGTGGGCGGGGCTTTACCCAGCATGCTCAGCAGTTAGCCCCAAGAGCAGGGCGAGCCTGGAAGAGAAGACAGGAGATATTATCATTTCATAAATGAAAAAAAAAGACATGGGTTGGGTCAGATCACTTAGAAATGTAGTCAGTTACTGAATATAAATTATACATTTTTGTAATTAATAACAATAATAATATATTTAATTTTTAGAGTGCTTTTCTGGATACTAATTAGCAACGTAATTTATTGAATTACAAAAATGTCATCTAATCTAAACACTGTTGGGATACTCCAAATCAGTTCCACAAAATAATACTCTTAATTCTCTTTAAACATCTCTAAACATTTTTTAATGTAAATAAAAAGCATTTTGCATATTGAACATTTATACCTGGTCAAATCAAATTACAATAAACTGACATATCTTAAAGACGTAATCAAAAATGGAATCAAGCAATCTTTGACAATGCAACTGTAATCTTACTACACATTTTTTCAGATGTAATCTGGGCTGATTACAGTAGACTACACAATCCTAATTACATGTAATCCATTATGACCCAACGCAGAAACATCAAATGCTGTGGAATCAAAGGGAATTAGAGAGTGACTGGGTTCGTATGTCCATGTTGTTGTAAACTATATGGCTGTTTCCTGAGGGTACATAGACTCCCATGGAGACAGACTGTCACTCGACCTTTCATTATGTTGTGATTAAGAGAGATTACACAAGACCCTGATGTTCTATTATAAGAGTTCTGTGAGGACCGCAAGTATGCAGGCTCTTTAATAAGCAGGCAAATGTTCTGTAGTCACAGCTGGAATAGCTTTCAATGTCACATGTGCCCACTGCCCCAGAGACAAGGAGACAAGTTCAGTCCAGTCCTTACAGTCAACAGAGCAGGTGACAGAAGTGAGTGGGTGCACAGATGTCAGAAGTGTTCAACTGGCTTGATCTGGTAACTGCATGAGCCCAAACATGATTCACATAATTTTTATGCTAATAAAACTGTTGGGAAGAACCTGCATTTGTTATGTTTCTCCATCTGTCTGTGTGTTTTCTTATTGTATCCGTATAGACAAACCATTGTGTTGATCAGTATCCCTGGAACAACAATCTATTTAGGAGAACTGTTTATTCAGCACTCTGTCACTGATATGCCAGAAAGCCATTAATTTTGACATCTAAAAGAAATTAATTCATTAATTCATTCATTTCTGTAACCGCTAATCCTGTTAGCAGTCGAGGGGGGACCAGCTGACCCTGGGTGAGACAATAACCCTGGACAGGTCACCAGACTATCACAGGGCTGACACATAGAGACAGACAACCATTCACATTCACACCTACGGACATTTTAGAGTCACCAATTAACCTGCATGTCTTTTGACTGTGGGAGGAAGCTGGAGTACCCAAAGAAAACCCACGCTGACAAGGAGAGAACATGCAAACTCTAAACAGAAGGGCTCCCCCACCCTGAGGTTCGAACCCTGAGTGGGGCAACAATACTAACCACTGTTCCACCATGCAGCCCTATAAAATAAAATAAAATAAAATAAAATAAAACAAAATAATAATACAAAAAAATCCAGAAAATCATTTATTAAAATCATCTTATTTTGAGTACTCAAATAATTCTAAAACCAGATATTTTAGGTACTGAAGAAAACAAAACATAAAAACCTGGAAATGATGTGAGTGAATGAGGTTTTTTTCATATTAATATTTATATAAATAATAATGTAAAAAAAACACTAGATTTTTCTCATACAAAATGAGCATTTTCTTATATTAATATTTTTTTAAAAAATCAGATTTTTCCCGCATAGTATTTCCAGGTTTTTATGTTTTGTTTTCTTCAGTACTTAAAATACTTGTTTTGAGAATTATTTGTGTAGTCTGAGGACGATCAGAGGAACGAGAACATTGCTCTAATTGAGTGATTTTCTGAACAAAGTGTCGCAGCCCCATTTGAGTTTGGACAGCTGAGGAGTTTTAAGCATGTCCTAATATGGGGAGCTCCTTAAACTGTGGCGTGGCACTGTCATTAAGCTGAGCTGGTCATCATTCACTTCAGTTTTTGACTGAATGACTGAATCTAAATCATCTGTAGTTCAGTGATTCAGTGAATTATTTACTAAAGTCATGCACACCCGGCTGCCCCAACCCCAACCAACCCTTCCTCTCCAGCACCTATGCAGCGTTGATACATTTCAATGAAACATGTGTCAGTCACCCTTCCTGTGACCTGACTTCAGAGACATTCCTACGAACTATCCTATTTAAATCCAGTTAATGACAAACTAACCCTCTGACTGACCAGTTTTTCATTACCGACACACACAATGAAAGAATGAGCCGATATCCTCCTCACCGTCCAAATCATGTGTCATAATCATACACCCAAATCAAACTGTGTTATCATGAGATTAATGACTTATTATGTACTCATACTGCAGATGACATTCTTGTTACTACATGATAATGGGGATCAAAAATGACAGCAAAAGAATGACAGATTGACTTCTGGTTTCATTCCTTTGGAGACAACTCCCAGTGAAGCACCCAATGGTTCTTGGGGGATATGCATCTCAAAAATAGAATTGATTGCTATATAAATCTCATCCCAGTATCACTTTGGTTTGTTACGTAACCAGAAAGCATGGAATCTGTTTCCCCGCAATTCCTCCAGCAGCTGCTGGAAGGTGATGACCCCATCTTTCCTGTTATTTGTGGTGTCCTAAAATATGCTGCTATTTGCTTCTGTTTTCCATTCTCCTAAGATTTTTGTACTTTAATGATCCTATTTAAAGTTATCTTCATATAACAAGTTTTGCACAACTGACACAAAAATTCTGTTGCTGACCGTGTCCATCCCTTTATGACCACAGTGTACCCATCTTCTGATGGCTACTTCCAGCAGGATAACGCACCATGTCACAAAGCTCAAATCATCTCAAACTGGTTTCTTGAACATGACAATGAGTTCACTGTACTCCAGTGGCCTCCACAGTCACCAGATCTCTTTCTAATAGAGCACCTTTGGGATGTGGTGGAACTGGAGATTTACATCATGGATGTGCAGCCGACAAATCTGCAGCAACTGTGTGATGCTATCATGTCAATATGGAGCAAAATCTCTGAGGAATGTTTCCTGCACCTTGTTGAATCTATGCCTCAATTTATCAAGGCAGTCCTGAGGGGAAAAGGGGTCCAACCCGGTACTAGCAAGGTGTACCTAATAAAGTGGTCAGTGAGTGTATAGTAAAGTCACAGAGCCTCTACTTTCTGCTGAACAACCTTGTCCTGCTTAAGAAAAGTGCAAAGATTAAACAACCAAAGAGCGAACAGAAAAACTGCCAAACTCTGAATTTGTAAGAAAGAATCAAATTTAATATGTATGATTTAAAAAAAAACAATGCATCATACAAACAAAAAACTGTATCACAAGTTCCTCAAAATGTATCTAAATCCCATAAACATCCTACAGTTACTCGTCACAATTTAGATTACTTGTACAGTTTATCAGGTGTTCAGTACTGTTAGCATTATGCATTGAATATAATGTAAAATATATCACATAGTGAGGGTTCATCAGTTTACTCAATGATGGAAAAGGGGTCCCTTGAGGCAGTGGTTTCCAACTGGTCCAGCCACAGGGTCCAGATTTCTCCTTAGTCATTAGTCTGCTGTCTCTAGTCACGTTTCCATTACAGTTTTGCGCAAAATAAATGCGATATTTCTAAAGTTTTGACAAAGTACAATTGCAGCTTGCAGGTGTTTCTATTAAAAGGTGTTTTGCGTATGATCTGTAACTCTCGCAAAATCTCGTGCCGCGAGACTCCACTTTGTTTGCAGAAGTAACACAGACATTCCAAATCTCTTGCGAGCTGGAACAATCATCTCGGCTGCCACTGCTGACAAAGAGAGCGAGTGGTATCCCAAAGGCAAAGTCCTCATGTGTGGCAGCGACCATGGATAAAGGATTTCTGGGAGAGGATCGTGAATGAGGAATTCACAGAGGACTTGAATGTCTGGTGACGTATATTTGCGAAAAAAGTGTTTCCATTGCACTTCACAGTTTTTTATTCCGATATTTAGGTTTTGCGCATTTCTAGGGTTAATGGAAACGCACTTACTGTCTAGTAGCTGACCGTCAGTCACTCACTCTACACAAGGAAATGGCACTTCAAAATAAAAGCTCTGTGGCGGAAATTCAAAGGTTGTTTTTTTTGACAACCTTGACATGTTTGCGAGTCACTTGCGATCCATTGCATCACGACCCACCAGTTGGGAACCACTGCATTAAGGAAAAAGGTCAGGGGTCACTGCTCTACATTATGATACACTACAGAAGTTAGAATTATTTCCAGTAAGGGGAAGGTGTTACTGTAAACCACAGAATTACTAAACTGTCTAAGTACATGACATCATGCGCAGCTGTCATTAACACCCACACACACATACACACATATCATTATACATTCTGAAATCTCTGCTCTCCCAAACCTTCACTCACATTTCATTCTTTGATTTAGGTTTGAAAAAAGTTTGATTATGACAGCCTTGCTACGTATTACTTTATAGTTTGTGGCGCTGTGTCAGTGCTATGTTCGGGAATGACTTGACCGACTGCACCCATAGGAGTAGGAGTTGGTGATGAAACATTGTTGATGACGCAATATGCTGTGTGTGACACCATGCAGAGCAAGACCTGACAAAGCTGGGCGCTACACAGATTCACACAGTCAGTCATACACCCTTATATTAACTTTAAAAATGACATGCACCGAAACCTGTGCAGTCATGCCACTCACATGCTAATTCAACTAGTGCTTATGCATGACACACAGATTAAACAGTATACAGCGCATACAGTCAAAATACTGCGGCTAGAGGCAAATGTCATATAGCTGTCTTATAGACAAATATTTGCAGCATACATCAATGTTATCACAAAGTAGGAGTCATCTTGTCATGTTTAGTAGTTGTTTACTTTGAGCAAAGGAATATAGACAAACTGTGCTCAGCTCTCTGTTTTGGTTTCACCGGGTTCCACTC